TGCTTAACTTCAGTTTTCAGATATCAGAGTTTCCAAGGAGGCCCGCATTTGAGTTTCTGTGTTCATTTCTCCTTCGAGAGACTCCACTTAAGATCATATTTATGTTACATGGGATCCAGAAAAGAGACAATATATAATAATCTATAGTAAATCTCTCACGATTAGCTCTAAAATGTAAAATGTTTTCATCCATGCCTTAAGGCTATAGTTCATAATTATTCTATTCTGTAATAAAAATGCGCTTTTAGACCGTTGAAATGCAGCAGAGGCATAAAAGGACGAGGGAGGGAGGATTAAACCTGTCTCTCACAGATGAAGAAATCAGTGCAGATGTATTCTTGTGTGGATGAGACGATGTGCATCAGTGCTACGGTGCCCCTGAAGGGACATTTCATACTTCTGCAATAAACCAAGTTTTTAATTTTATTTTCTTCAGTGTCCTGTCGGGACCTCATAGATACATTTTTACAAATCAATTCACTTTTATTGTGTTTGCAACTTTTGACTCTTTATTTGTTAAGTAAATTTAATATTTCATGTTAAAAATTATTCTTTAAACAGTGTCCCCTCCAAAAGTGGCTAACAAGTAGCTAAAGTCCAAAGAAAAGGTTTGAGACTTCCAAACCAGAAAACGGTGTGCTCAATAACAACAATTCACACCAGAAAATCGTCCTGCTGGAAACAAAGCAGACGGAAATGAGGGAGTGATTAAGACTTTTGCACAACTCTGTGACATCATCTGATGCTGGAAGTTCAGCTGAAGCAAAAATGATCTCATTAAACGAATAAGAAATCTTCACAAATAGTCACAGTCACTGAGGCGTTCCTCCAAAAACACGATCAAACTTCATCGTCTCTGCAGGAGTAGAGCTGTCAAACGTCACAGCAACATTCCGGTTTTCCTGCTAAAGCCGGTGAGACAGCGTGGCCACGGAGCAGCCTAAAACCCTCGGTGAAACATTTCAAACATGTCGGACGTAGAGAACAGATCACACTTCCTCCACTTTCATCTCGGAGAACCATCCAGTGTAGAATAGCTAAACAGTGTGTGTGGGTGAATGACCGTAATGTTGTAAAGCACCTTTACGGGACGACGGTGGCACAGGGGTTAAGTGCTCGCCCCGTAATCGGAAGGTTGCAGGTTCGAGTCCCGCCCAGCCTGTTTCTGTCATTGTGTCCTTGGGCAAGACACTTAACCCACCTTGCCTGCTGGTGGTGGTCGGAGGGACCAGTGGCGCCTGTGCTCGGCAGCCTCGCCTCTGTCAGTGTGCCCCAGGGCAGCTGTGGCTACATCGTAGCTCATCCCCACCAGTGTGTGAATGTGTGTGTGAATGGGTGAATGACTGATTGTGTTGTAAAGCACCTTGAGGGGTTCCATGACTCTAGAAGGCGCTATATCAAATACAGGCCATTTACCATTTACCTTGGGGGGTTCAAAGACTCAACTACAGGCCATTTCCCATAACTCAAGGGATGAACCACATGAATTACACGTATCAGGAAATGAGTTTAAATAGTCTCCTTTAGCACTTTTGACTGATTAATCCGTTCAGCAAAAGATCAAAATTAGACTTTCAGAAATGATTCGTTAACGGTTTTCTACAAGTGGAAAACGTAAAGTTGCTTTTTTTATTTTCTATGAAAATGATGCTTTAAGACTGTAAAGCTAATTACGGCCCAGGGGCCATTTGTGGCCCTCAGAGGGATTTTGAGCGGCCTCCAATTGCATTTCAAGATTAAAGCAGCAATCTGGAGATTTGTGTTTGTTTTCGAAATTCATAAAAGTGGTAGCCCTACCCTGTTCTATGATATAATGTTAATGTTTTTTCCAAGCGTCCATCATGTAGGGTCCGTGCAACTTGATTGGAGCGCCTCTCAGCATTAGCCAATAGCGTTGGACATCGGCTTGAGTACAGATGTCGATCACAGAGCGTGCGTGCGCATTTGCAGATGTGCCAGACGGATGTAGAGTTGACAACATTTCTTATGGACAAGTAAGTCTTTAAAATGTAGAAATGTGAATAAACAGCATAACATGGGAGCAACAACGGTAAAACGATGTTTTTAGCCCAATATTTATGTCTGTGGGTTTTACAGGTGAGCGTGCATGAGTGAGAGGCGTTGCTTCCATCTGTAATCTCCAAAGTAGGGAGAGATGCTTGTAGCTGCTATAGCTAACAAGCTAGGTGTTGAACGCAAACGCGGTCATGGAACACTCCCTCCTCCCCTCCGGTACCTTCACTGGTTCTGTGTCCACCAGAACCGGAAACCCACACTGCCAGAGGAACCCAGATGGCTCTAAACACCAGTCACTTTTTTTCTAGGTCCAAACGTCTTCTGTTGTCCGTGAATTCAGATGGTGATTTTCTTTTTGGACTCTGGTAGTTTGTCCTAAAGCTGAAGCGGTAGCAGCTGGCTGTTTCTCCTCCTCTGATGTTACTGAGCGGAGAACCTCTCACACCAGTGGTGTTCTGGTGCTGAACACGTGAGTGTGTGATGAGTGGAGGACCCGGGGAAGTGCGGCGGCTCGTTGACATGACAACCGGATGGCCCAGTCGTTGGTTTGGGTCCCAGCCGTGTTATTGGTGGAGGTTTTTAGACAAATGAGAGAACCACTTTGTTTTTATTTATTTGTAATCCCACAAGAAGCTTGTTACGATACTATGTTAGAATGTTGTTAAGAGGCATGAAAATACGTTTTAAGATCATTTGGGTTCCAAACTGAAAACCAAATGATCTCCAGGTCAGGGACGAGGTCCTGCCCCAAGTGGAGGAGTTTTAAAGCCCCATTCCCACCTGTACCGGGTCGGCCCGGGCCGGGCAGCGTAGGCTGTTTACATATCTGGGTGGCCTGGAATTTTCCCGGGCCAACCAAGGCTCATTCTCGGCCCTCTTCCCGAGGGGTACTGCTTCAGGCTGACCTGGCCCAACACGCCCACTGTCCACCGATTGGTCAAGTCATGTGTTACCCTCCCCTTCAATAACATCTTCTGATTGGCTCTGCGGTGTTATTTGTAGTGATGTCACAGAATCGCGCCCAAACTCAAATCTCCAAACTCCAAACTCAATCTCCAGTTCACCAGCGTTGACATGATGGCTTCTCCCTGCTCCCAGACCTCATCTCCTAACCCCTGGAGCAATGAAGAGGTTAAAACCCTCCTCACTTTGCTCAGCGACGAGAGAATCCAGCGCGAACTGGACGGCACGGTGCGTAATGAAAAGATCTTTCAGGGGATTGCACTGGCGATGTTCACCCACGGCTTTGAACGCACCTCGAAGCAGTGCCGAGAAAAAATAAAAAAGCTCAAAGCTGAGTACAGGTCCGTCAAGGACCACAACAGCAGGAGTGGAGCAGACAGGTGAGATAAAAGTATCTCGGGGTCTTGTTCACGAGTGAGGGAAAGCTGGAGCGTGAGATCGATAGGCGGATTGGTGCTGCATCTGCAGTGATGCGGGCGTTGTACCGGTCTGTCGTGGTGGAGAGAGAGCTGAGTCAGAAGGCGAAGCTTTCGATTTACCGGTCAATCTACGTTCCTACCCTCACCTATGGTCATGAGCTTTGGGTAGTGACCGAAAGAACGAGATCACTGATACAAGCGTCTGAAATTAGTTTTCTCCGCAGGGTGGCTGTGATCTCTCTTAGAGATAGGGTGAGAAGCTCGGTCATCCGGGAGGGGCTCGGAGTAGACCTGCTGCTCCTCCACATTGAGAGGAGCCAGTTGAGGTGGCTCGGGCATCTGGTCAGGATGCCTCCTGGACGTCTCCCTGGTGAGGTTTTCTGGACATGTCCAACTGGGAGAAGACCTAAAGGGACACACTGGAGGGACTATGTCTACCAGCTGGCCAGGGAATGCCTTGGGATTCCCCCGGAGGAGCTGGTCCAAGTGGCTGGAGAGAGGGAAAAGCAAACTTCTGATTTATAAGTGTTATCTCTCTGCTTAGGCTTCTTGGCACTTTCTGACATTAAAATTTCTACTAATATGCAAATTTTGAGAATTAAAAATGAAAAAATGACCCTAACAATCACATTTTTGTGGCCCACAAGGGCTATTAACTTGAAACATTTGGCCCTTGTCTAGAAAAGCGTGGGCACCCCTGCACTAAAGATTCCCAAATGCTGGAGTCGGGACCCCGCTGTGGGTCAAGAAACACAAGATCTGGGTCTTGAGATGAATTATTTTCACTATAAATACCTTCATAGCAACACAAGTTAAAGCTGATCATGTTTACTTCGTCTGTTTGGTAATTTAGCAACAATTCACCTAGTCAGCTTGCAGCCTGTTGTCGTTGTAATTTTGCGGTTTACAAGCTAAAATTTCTTTTTCAGTTGATCCATGAAGTTGCATCTAGTGTTGAAGCCTTTCTTCAGCAAAGGAAATGGATAAATGACAAATAAGTGCTAAATTACACAGGAACCGGACTACAACAAAAACAGTGAAAGTTTAGCTTTAATGTTTGTGTGCATGGAGAGGACTGGCTGGACTCTAGCCTACTTGTTCTTTTTAAAACCCAACTTTAGCCATATGGGTGTGATCTGAATATCTGATTATAAAATGAGGCGATCTAAGCAGATTTAGAGGGTCTATGGGATTCTCCTTCTGGCTTAATGCGTGCACACGATGAGGAACGGGATTTCCAATCTTAATGGATTTGTTTTCCACCTCATAGACCGGTCAATGTGCAAAAGCCTGAAACACAATTAATTCTAAGCCCTCCCCTGTCTGGTTTATTCTGTGAAAGTTTAGAGGTGCTGAAATCTGCTTTTGCCTGATCAGGTTGCTGCATCAGCGGGGTGAATGACCCTCTGTGGTTTGAATATGACCCGGGTCCTTGGCTCTGTCCCAGTTCGGTTGTTTGCAAGCAAGCAGATGTGCACTAATTAGGCAAACATGGAAACCACTCTGCAGGCAGCAGGACCTTTGTTTCCACGCACATTTCCAGTCGGCTGCATTAGGCCAATTCTCATCTGTGTCAGTTATAAGGAGGAGATGGGACTCTGGCGGGAGGAGGAGGAAGGGAAAATGCTTAGCTGACAACCTTTATGTGCAGTTGTGCATTAGGAGGAGGAGAAGGGGGAGACGAGAGGGCGGCTGGCTGTGTTGGGCAGAGGAGAGAGGAGCAAATGCATTGCAGACGGAAAGGAGGAGGAGGGCCTACAGCTATTGTTCATGTCCTCCCGTGAACAAAGGGCTCATCGGGGTCCGTATGTAAACCCACAGCAGGCTTCAGCCCACTAACAAGGCCTCATGCGGGACAAAACATAAACCATCGACTCCCGCAATTTAGGCCTTATCCCGCTGCAGTCTTGCGGTTTGAGGAGCTTTTTAGTGTTGCTCCTGTTGGGAAGGACGCGTTGTGTGTACGTCGCGTCCAGCGGGCCTATCCGTTTTTACGCACGGAGCGTACACACGGTCTCACCACGGATCTGTAAACAGCTGTTTCTGGTCGGACTTCTCTGCAGGTAACGGCTCATTTTCACCCCAAACACAAAGTTTCGCCTCTCTTGTTGGCTTCGAGAGCCAGCAGGCGCGGCGCGTGCGGTGTCTCGTCCTCTTTAGGTGGTTTCTCGTTAAAAGGGATTTAATGCTAACATGCTACCAACTGACTACTGCCTCTAGTGTGCCCTGAAAAGGCCTTCGAGGTAGTTTTTATTGTGGGTCGAAGACATTGCTGTTAATTATCTTGTTAGTCGTGTACTAAAACGAACGGCTGAATTGACTGAAAGTTTGTGTTTTGTTCCCATGTTTGTTCCTAAAGTCAGCCGCTTTCCGTAACCATGTAGCTTAGCTTGTGGCTAGGTGCTAGCATTAGGCTGCCTTTCTAATTGCCTTTGTCGGCTCAACAGTTACCTATGTTCGGCTGGTAAATTGTTTTAAAAGTGCTCCGAGTTTGAAACTACTTTTTGGAAGCTGTAAGAAGAAGAAGAAGGGGAATTGTGTGGAAGTGGAACCGGGTTTGGTTTGTTCCGGTGTCGTTTAGAGACACTTGTCCCTCCTGGCAACCATCATGGTGGCAGTTTGAGGTGTCGAACGGAAAACAACGACAGCTCCTGCTTTCCTCATCAGCCCGAGCAGAAAGCTTCAGAACGAAGTGTGCTTCGGCACACAGCCATGTCTCCCGGACCCGTTCAGCCGTTAACGTTTAGTTTCTACAGCAGAGCTGCAACAAAAAGTGAGGAAATAGGAACCAAACATGTAGGTAAAGGTGCACCTGCTGGGCCCTTTCAGCCGTCGGTGTGAAAGGAAACGCGAGTTGACGAGTATTATGGGATGTCTTAAAAGTTTCCTTGGCATCTTGAAGTAAAAACAGTTTATTCAGGGTTGATTATTATGTACCAGAGAGGCTGGTGTCTGTGGGACAGCTGTGCTGATGTTCTTGTTGCAGAAAGTCAGATTTGCTGCTCTGTCACCCATCTGGGTAAAGTGTGTGTCCAGTGGGACGGGCTGGACTGATATCCCATTCAGAACCAGACAGCTGTAGAAGTGTCTGGTAAGGTAAAACTAGTTCAGTGGCAGGTATGTTTTCAAACGTTTGAGGAAAACATCCCGTTGAGTGCTTTTGTGCATCCATAGCACTTTCTAAGCCCTACCCAGGAGGCTGGCGTCCCCTGTGCCAGCAGGATGTGAACATGTACAGTATGTATATAATGCGTTGTTTGCTTGTGCGGGAGAGAGGAGCACGATTCCCAGTGGAGGAAGTGGAATCCAGCTGATGTGATTGTGACTGACTGTCATTAACCACTAACAGACGAGGAGAGGAGCTAATGGAGCTCTCAACAACTAATGGACACATAAGCATTGATTATTTATTTATTTATCAATCTTCTGCTGCTGCATTCAGCCTATAGCCTGGTGTTACCATCCAAACAGCTTGTTCCTGCTCAAAGGGAAGGCAGGGCCTCAAATGGATGTTTTATGGCTTTTTTGTCTGCAGAGAAGAGCTTGTTGTAAACCTCATCTTGTTTACCTTTAGGTCTGCAGCTTATTTCATGGGCTTTGTGGGCGGTGTCTTAAGATAAACGCAGTAGAGACCACCTGGGATGAAAGCGAAATGTGTTCAAGTCCTTTAGTTTTGGATAAGCTGCTGCTTGAGGATGTTTTTAAATGGGAATGAACCTGAAAGAGTTGTTGGAGGAACTTTGTTGTGTACGAAGGCTCAAAGTGAAGAGCGCCTAACATCACAATGCTGCAGTATTCACATCATCTGTATCTGTGTGAGGCATCATGTTTAATATGCAGTAACAAGACAGAGACATTAGGAGGCGGAGCCTCACCATGGGGCCGGCGGGGTCGTGACCTGCAGGCCGCCACGCCTGGATGGCCTTTATTGTAGAGTTGGGCAATTAGAGTAAAGCAGGGATTGGAGCCGTTAGTCAGAGAGGCATCAGTCTGTTCACGAGTAGTTGTAGCGTGCCTGCAGTCTGCTGGTATTTGATATTTACTGATTATTTTACAGAGGGTGGATTCGTGTTTTAGAAATAAACCTGGCCGTCTCTTTAAATACGTTCCCGGCTTCACCCGTGTTGTTGCTAACATGCAGATTTGTTTGTGAAATAATTCTGACTGAAATATCAGCCATGCTGTGTCTCACACCTCCCTTCTCCGTTTCTCCTCCTCTCTTCCAGGCTGTTCCTCCAAATCATTCAAGCTGTACTCTCCCAAGGAGCCCCCCAACGGTAGCACTTTCCCCCCTTTCCACCCCGGCACCATGCTGGACAGAGACGTGGGGTGAGTGTCATGTCTGCTAAATAGTCCAGATTGTGTCATATTCAAATCCTGGAGAAGCTGAACGTAACAATCCCGTTCCCGTCTTCTTTTCAGCCCTACTCCGATGTACCCGCCCTCGTACCTGGACCAAGGAATAGGGTAATGCTGTGCAGCTTTTCCTCTGGAGCATCTAGTATCTCCAATCATTCTGAGGTGTTTTTTGTTTCTTTTTGTGATAAATCAGGAGGCACACGCCGTATGGCAACCAGACGGACTACAGAATATTTGAGCTCAACAAACGGCTACAGAGCTGGACAGAGGTCAGTTAGTCCACACCCTCGTGCACACAGACAACCACATACACGGACACACAAGTAGCCTAGTAATTAATGATGTGGTTGTTTTCCCCTCATCCCCCTGCAGGAGTGTGACAACATTTGGTGGGATGCGTTTACTACGGAGTTCTTTGAAGACGATGCCATGTTGACCATTACTTTCTGTCTGGAAGACGGACCCAAACGTTACAGTAAGAGCCGAGTGGAGTCGGTCCTGCTGCTGAATCAGAAACTAGAGATGAAACTCTGTCTCAGTTTCATCTCTGAAGTGAAATGACTGACCCAAGTGCCAACACCAGATTCTAGTTTTTGCTGTGTGACCGTTACTCAGCGTTGGTGCTCCTGAGGCAGTGTGAACGGATGAATGACTGATTGTGTTGTGAAGCGTCTTGGGTGGCGTTATAGATCCGTACAAGGTGCCGTACAAATGCAGGCCATTTACCGGAGTAGAGGTATGTGGGTGTAGGGTAGGGCTGGGCCATCCGTGAAATGTTTCCCACCACCAGTCGTCAGTCCTAGAGGCTGCATGACTTAATTTATTTTTAAAGTCGACCGTCAAGTTAGGAAAATCGAGTCGACTTTGACTAGTCATTGATGACGTTGTACACCTGAAGTGGGGTGGTTCGCTGGAGTTTTTGACAATTGAAACTGCGCCCACATTTTCTAAGTTAAACATCTTCTAACAACGGTAGTTTCTGCATCCATACTGCTCCGCTTCAGCCCCCCCCCCGCACAAACTCACTGATGCGCCTGCAGCCTCCGAGTTCCTGCTGCTCTAAACATTAAAATAATTATTTCATTTTCTGTTCCTCACTTCTTATACCTTTAATGGTGTCTGTTTGATGCAACCATCAGGTACAAAAACTAACTTGTTTTTATTTGACTATTTTTCTGTCCTGCCTGTTTATTATCTTCCTGCATCTCCTCTCAATCCTAAAGAGAAACTGCTACCTGGCTTCATATATATTCACCTTATGAGTTACCTTTGAACTGCAGTTCTAAAAGATCTACCGACCGCAAAAACAGCAGAGTGCGCGCCGGCCGCACTGGTGGTGCGTCACCGGAGGACAAAACGGGTGATGCGTTCTGCTCCGCAGCAGCGAAACGCATCAGGCACAAATAAAAGACAGAAAACATAAAAGGAAATGAGCCGACATGATCGATCGCGTGTTAAATTAGTTTTTGAGGTGGCGACACCTGATTAGATAACGTTACTGTGGCCGTGCTCAGGACGCAGATGTCTGGAGCGCGTCAACATTCAGAGCTTTGCCTGCGCAAGCTGGTTAAGGTTAGGACGGGGGTGAGGGGAAGGTCACATTGCAAGAGGGTAAAGGTTAGCCTAGTGAACTAGACCAAATTCTTGCTTTGCAAAGTTTAAATAATACATTTATTTAGTCTGGCTTGCCAGGCTAGGTAAAGGTCACAATTCGGTCAAATGTCCGTTTTACGGCGGGCGTGAGATACCGACGCTCTGGCACAGCGCGTCGCCTCCTGACGTGCAGGGGCTTGCCACCTGATGTCTTTTCCGAGGACTGAATCTTGTCGGTCATTATCACGTGACGGCGGCTAGTCGATGACGGGCATAAAAAGTCACTACAGAGCCGTGAAGTCGACTAGTTGATACAACCCCTAGTCAGTCCAGTCAACAACGAAGGGTGATTTATTCAAGCATGCGACTCTTTGAACAACGTCGTGATGCACGGACTGATTAGCAAACACAGAAGACCAGTCGCTGATGTTTTTATAGAAGTGCAGCACAAATGTTTGCTGGATGAGAAAACATGTTAAAGTGGTGAAAAGAAGCCTGGTGTTCGTGTCCGGTGGTGCGCACCATCTTGGTGTTCAAACCAAAGGTTTTTTTCTGAACAGGCTGCTGTTTTCCTTAGTTTAATCAGGAAATGAAATGAATCGCTGCTGCGTTTGGACGCGCTCTGAGGAGGGAGCCAGAGGTCACATGATCCCTTTATCCCCTCACTTTGTTTTTAAAATAATAATCATCCAGCGCCATTAAATTTCCATTAATATTTAGTCCACAGAAGCTGATCAGACTGCCCCAGTAACAGCAACGATTTCACTTAAAGTAGGAACATCTCGCCTGCTGCGGCCCAACGCCCGCTCCTTCTGCTCCGCGTGAACCTGAGCTGGTCGCCTGCAGCTTGCTGAGGAGGTCAGGAGGTTCTGGACTTTAAATGTTGTTCTGGATGAATCTGCACTCCGCTGACACTGAAATAACAGAAGTCTTCCTGACACTCTGAAATGTAGACGGGTTTCTGCTTTCCACATGACACTGCGCTCTCGTGTAACGTGTCGAGTGCATCACAGACGCTCACCGAGCTCCTCTTCAGCGCGCCGCCTGTGTGCACGGTCAGCAGCGGGAGGCAGGGAAACGGAGAAGATGCGCTGATGGAGATCTTTTATGATTGTTACCTCCGTGATGTTCTCTGTGCGTAACGTGGAAAATATCTGTCATTAACGGACTACCTCACGGGCACACAAGTAAACAAACAAATAAACAAATCTCCTCAGTAATAACAACCGTAACGGCTCAGCCCATCGGCCAACGCTTGTGTAAGGCTGCTCGGTTATGGCAAAGATGATAATCACGTTTAAAATTATAAATAAGAAAAAGAAACAAGATAATCCCAAAAATAACTCCTGATTGTTGGTACTAAAGAGCCAAAGCACTTATTGTTATGATCCAAAGGGTTTAGGCAGACGTTTAACTTACTTTAGCCAGGGCAGACCCCAAAATACCTTAAATACTGACAGCAAATGAGTTTTCTACGGTGCAACTATAAGAGAAACTAACGAAAACCAGATCTATGTTGTAGCCGTTTCCACAAGCTGCTGCATACACGGATCCAGTCCTGTCCAGCGGGGCTGCAGGAGTGTGTTCAGTAGCAACGTGTCGCTCAGTGTGAGGAGAAATGAAACGGCCACAAAAACATTTTAAATGACAAAAACAAACTGCCAGTAAAATATGCTTTAACTGAACTATTAGAGCCAGTTGGACATATTTCCCCATTGCATTTTCCACCCTGTCATCCGTTAAATGTGTCCACTTCCAGGTGTCCGTTTTCACTCCTGCTCACCTTTCTAGAGCCCATCATTTAATGGAACGTCCCAGCCCTCTCCTCCGTTCACAGCGACCACCCCAGTCTCACGCAGTCTGTGTGTGCGCGTGCGTGTGTGTGTGCACATGTGTGTGTGCAGTGCTCTACACGCACATATTTAGACGTGTCGTTAGCGACTCACACATCGCTACATCAGTACTTTCCAGTGTCCGGAGCACAGGCTGCGTGTTGTGCTAACCTGCTGGAATTATCGATGGCGTTATCTAGAAAGTGGCTGAGGGTTACCAGAAATGCTTCTCGGTAGTTTTTTTTTTTTTTATATAAAAGTAGGTCTAAGAAGAGGGTCTGAACAGTTGTCAGAAATCGTTTGTAAAATCATCCAAATTCCCTCCAAGTATCGCAGGTTTCTGTCCAGAACTTCAGCAGCTTCGTCTCCTTCCAGTTTCAGCCTCCACTGATGTTTCCAGAGGCTTGTGTTCTGGGGTGGGGGTGTGAGTTCAGGTGTCGGTCAAAAACAGCTTTCCCAGGAATTAGACAGGTCCACCCTATCCCAAAGAAGGTTCTGACAGACGAGCTGCTGCGGTTGTTGTTTCAGATACAAGCTAAATCCTTTTAGGCACGTCTTCCCTACATGTAGAAGATATTTGAAATGAAGAAGAAGAAAACTTGCAACAGAGTATGGATCTGTTCTCAATGAGATGCTGTTAGTGGAAAATAAACGTAAACAGAATGTTTACAGATGATGATCTGAAGATGTTTCTGGTACTTTTACCATCATCCTGTGGTGGAAAGTCAGCACAAATGTTCAGTTAAAATGTTAAAAAGCTGCTTAAACCTTCGTTATTTTATAGTGGGCCTGTCTATTGGGCCATTCCCGTCTGTACCGGGTCGGCCCGGGCCGGGTAGCGTAGGTTGTTTACATATCTGGGTGGCCTGGTATTTTTCCGGGCCAACCAAGGCTCATTCTCAGCCCTCTTCTCGAGGGGGTCTGCTTCAGGCCGACCAGGGCCAACACACCCACTGCTGACAGCAAATTCACACCTTCCATTAGAGCAAGCCTCTGATTGGTGGGTAGAATCAGCCCACATGGGCTTAAGGCAAGGATGTGTGGAATCAACCGGGCCAGGCTGGGGCCGACTGGGGCTACCTGGCCCGGGCCGACCCGGTACAGATGGGAATGGCCCATAAATTTATAAAAGCAGTTGATGGTTTAAAGTAACTGTAACTAAAGTTACTCAGAGCCACAGTAGAAGGTCCAGCCTGAGTTAAGCTGTGGTAACTGAGAGGAACTTCTGCTGTTTGCTTGTTCCAGTCGAATTCAAATAGAATATATTAGACATCAGTTATATAATAACTTTATGTACATTTAACAGTCATGTTAGAGATAAAAGGCAGAACTAACTTAATCTGGTTGCGTTGAAGCTTCACGTCCCACAGTGAGGAGTTGGGATCTGCCCATCCTACTGAAGAACGATTACAGTAATCTGGAATATTTCCAGAGGTTTTTATGTTTGCTGTTCTGTGAATTAATCTCATAATAATTCATTATTATATGATGATCCCTAATCATGATCAGTGCTGCCAGTTTATTATATTTAGCTCTCTTGAACAGTAGGACTGGTAGAAAACCGCTTGCATTTTGCAAAAACATCACATTAAATAAATTTTTTTAATTATTCTCAATAAAATAAAGTATGTAAAGGTCAGAGGTCACTGCAAACCCCTGTACAATAGATGCACATCTGCAGCACGTGAGGACCTTGATTGGGGGGGGTTAATTTAGTTGTCTCGTAAACTAATAAAATTATTTTTTGTTATTCTATGTGTGCGGTTTGCGTTTTTGTACCACGTGGCTTTCCGTATTATTGCTATAGTCTCGCTGTCCCGGATGTGACGTAACCCGACATGAAGTGGAAAACGAAGCGATGCAGTATTTAAAAACAACATGAGTTGATTAGTTCTTTGCAATAAAGTCTTAGTTTTATTTTTAGAAAGTCTTAAAAAGTGTTGCATGTCATTTTGAGATCCGTGCATTTACCCTGAAAATATATATGCAGCTTGCAGGTTTTCTTGGTTTACCAGGGCGGTATTCCAGAAAGCAAGATTTTCCCAAACCCAGGTTTTCTTGTGAGATTCCCAGTGTAACCTCCCTTAAATATGGCCTGAAGCCCCTCCCAGTAACCATGGTAACACATGCTGGAGAACAAACCTGCTCATTGGCAGGCTAGCAGCTAGGCTAACAGATGCTTTGTAAATATGATTGGACGAGGTGAGTGACATCGCCTTTTTCTCGTGGGTGGCTGGCAGCTACGAGGTGGTGAATTATCACCACCGCTGGCCCACAGCTGTAGCAGCAGCTGCTCAGCAGAAACAAAGTCCTCCAGTCTCTAAACACCCAGACTCTGGAGCAGAACATGAAAACCAAATAAATGATGAAACTTTTCTAGAATGTGTGGGGAAACGGGAGCTGAAGCATCTTCCAGCGTTGCCATGGAAACATGTCAACTCTGCGCGTTCTAACTAAGCAGCTCTAGCTACACAGCTTTATTCAAGCAGCTCATGGTCTGTCTTAGCTCTGATATCTCTACAGTCCTCATAGGCATGAATAATTATTGCTCCGTCTGGATGAAGAACCAGGCTCTGTCCTTTCATTCTCATTTATCTGGCATCGATTAACAGGGTCTGCCTGTGGACTAGGGCTGGGCAATAAATAAAAAATTTTTCGTTATCGAAATTCTGACTTATCGAATTTTTCCCGTGTCAATAATTTGAAAATAAAAAATGAATAGATGTGTGTAGGTCGGCAGCGTTCCTGTCCCTTTAAGCTGTACCACCTTGGGTCATGTGACTCAGTGTCATACATGAGACATCTAGTGGACAACTGTTGTTTCTGCGCATACCTGTAGTTATCGTCCACTTATTATCCAGGTGAAATCCTCAATATATCTTGATACTGATTTCAGGCCATATCGCCCGGCGCTACTATGGACGCACGTGAGCTGTGATTTCCCATCCTCGCTTGGGCTAGAGGGGATTGAATCCACCTGAGAATTGTTCGTGGAGCCAGCGAAACCTGGAGGGGAGGGGTGCGCCAGGCCAATCAGGGACTTATCTGGAGATCCTGATGTTCTAAACCCACTTTCTGGAACACCGCCCTGCAAGCTAAAATGTTGCTGCATACCTCTAAAGCACCTCCCCTGTTTGTTTGTTTACCTTTTTCAGCAATTGGCCGAACGCTAATTCCGAGATACTTCCGGAGTATATTTGAAGGCGGTGCCACTGAGCTCTACTACGTGCTGAAACACCCCAAGGAGTCCTTCCACAATAATTTTGTCTCCCTCGATTGTGATCAGTGCACCATGGTGACCCAGAACGGAAAGCCCATGTTCACACAGGTGTGTTTTTATCTATAAAGCATCCAGGTAAACTTTGCACTTAGGCAGCCATGTAACGATCTGCAAACACTGCTCCTGTGCTGACTCCGCCCTTCCTGTTGTAGGTGTGTGTAGAAGGACGCTTGTACTTGGAGTTCATGTTTGATGACATGATGCGGATAAAGACATGGCACTTCAGCATCAGACAACACCGTGAACTCATCCCACGCAGCATACTGGCCATGCATGTGAGTCGCTGCTCCAGATGTTTGTAGATGAGGGGCGTTGCCATGGTTTTCTTGTAATCTGACCGTCCGTTGGTGTTTCAGGCCCAAGACCCACAGATGCTGGACCAGCTTTCCAAAAACATAACAAGATGTGGCCTGTCGAACTCCACCCTCAACTACCTCCGAGTAAGTGAGACTGGAGCTGTCGTGTTGTCCGCTCACCGACACAACGCTGCTTGTAAAACTGATCACTAGTATTCGATCAGGGTGGAAACACCTCAAACACTGAATCAGGTCTGAAAGGATTCCAATCCTCTATTGTTTTTTTTTTTTTACGGATCTGAAGCTTCATTAAATGTGCGTACCACAGTCTGAAGACATTTTACTGGTGCAGTGTTGTGATCCAGGTGCTGTGGAGGAAAATGGGTAGACCAGCAAAGACTCGTAGATCTTGTAGGGGTGGCGCAGCATCACGCCTGAGCCTATGGAGGGAAACCCTGACAGTGTGGCGTTGCTTCACTACATTTACGCTGTGGGTCCATTTCTTACGCATCATGCTTCCAGAGCACGTCAAGCTCAGCAGTTCAGATCGGGATGTGGCTGACTTTAATGACTTTTGTGGGCCATTCCCATCTGTACCGGGTCGGGCCGGGTAGCATAGGTTGTTTACATATCTGGGTGGCCTGGTATTTTTCCGGGCCAACCAAGGCTCATTCTCAGCCCTCTTCTCGAGGGGGTCTGCTTCAGGCCGACCAGGGCCAACACACCCACTGCTGACAGCAAATTCACACCTTCCATTAGAGCAAGCCTCTGATTGGTGGGTAGAATCAGCCCACATGGGCTTAAGGCAAGGATGTGTGGAATCAACCGGGCCGACTGGGGCTACCCGACCCGGTACAGATGGGAATGGCCCATTACACTTCAGCATCGGCTCCACTCCGCCTGGACCGGGTTGGAGTGTTCTCATTTAGGTAGCCTTGAATTTTCCCACGAGCAACCAGACGTCTTTTCAGCCCTCCTCGAGGAGGTCTGCCTGGAGCTGAACAGGTCCAACTGCTGACTGATTGGCTGGCTCAAAATGAGGCCTAAAGCGGGAGCCTCCCATTGGTGGATAGAATCAGCCAGCGGGGCCTTGTCATTTTGGATGCTGTGGAGTTAAACACCTCTGACTGAAGCTGTGTTAAGCCTGATTTATGCTTCTTCGTCTGCGTCAGTACGGAGACACGCAACGCCATTATCCGTCCTTGCGGGCCTGCTGGAGAGCTCTGCAAGGACGGACAGAGTCGAGCTCTCTTTTCTAAACATCCGTCCGTCGAGACGGACCACGCAAGTTTGTGATTGGTCAGGACGCCGCGGTCGTCTACAGCACCGCCATTGCGCCCTCAAAAACAAAGAGAGCCGAGGATAACTAGAGGCAGACACGGAGAAGCTTGAAGAATACCTCGTGAAAAAAACTCTAAAAACATGAACGTTTAATTCCCCCGTGACTGGAGGAGTGAAAAGATGCGCAGCAAGCGTTTTATTTGTGGATGGAAATGACGGAAACATGGGTTTAGAGGTGGTGAGCGCATGAAGAGGTGGAGGAGGATGAGAGACAAATTTGTCCGTGTTAAAAAGTCTCTTATATACAAAAAACACAATATAAACACACGATCTTGGACAGGATACATGACAGGATACCACAGAACAGCGCTACGCCCCCTACTGTCCTGGTGGGGAATAGCTTTGCAACACTCTCCAGGAGACGGAGAAGTATGAGGGCAAAACATCTCCGTCCGTGCGTGCATGTCCGTCCCTTTTGGAGCTGACTGAGAAGCATGAATCAGGCTTTAGTCTGTCCCTCACTGCTGTATGGAGGCACACACACGCGCGCGCGCGCGCGCACACACACACACACGTACACACGCACTCACACACACACTCTCAGCAAAGCAGGATGCAATATCAGAATCGGTCTCCAAAAGCAAGACTACTCGGGCTGCTTTTGTTCGTTAATGGAGACACTGCAAACTTCTCTGCTATTACTTTTATATCTGCTGATATAAAAGTAGTACATACAGGCAGATATATAAAAGTAGTATATATCAGGCTGATATATATAAGTAGTACATATCAGGCTGATATATATAAGTAGTACATATCAGGCTGATATGTATAAGTAGTACATATCAGGCTGATATGTAAAAGTAGTACATATCAGGCTGATATGTGTATATATATATATATAATATATCAGCCTGATATGTACTACTTATATATAAGTAGTACATATCAGGCAGATATGTATACGTAGTACATATCAGGCTGATATGTATAAGTAGTACATATCAGGCTGATATGTGTATATATATATATATATATATAATATATCAGCCTGATATGTACTACTTATATATAAGTAGTACATATCAGGCAGATATGTATACGTAGTACATATCAGGCAGTTATATGGGTGTGTCCCTAGAGGCTTTTGCTGTGGAATCAGGATAAGGACTTCTCCAGTCGTAGATCTGGTACACAGAAGAACCACTGGTGCTGACTACTGCTGTGGTGATTCAACACTAAACAGCTGGAAGGTTACTGGTTGCCTATTGACCTTAGGATGTGGTTGGGAGGACTATGTGGTCAGGGTTAGGGTTGGAGCGGTTCTGAAAAGCTTTCTGTTCTTTTCTAATTCAGTACCTCGTGTATGAATCTCTGATTTTCTGATTCATTTTACAGAGACCCCAACAGGCTTGGCTCACAGGTTGTGAATTAGTTTCAGGTCTGTTGTCCCCACTTAGTGTTAGTCTGCTGGACTCATTTCCTCCCGTGTTTTCTTTGATTTATTATTAGAGTTTCAGAGGGGAAATGAGCCACTGCACTACTTTTTACCTTAGACTTGTGATAATTAAACGTTCCTTCCAGCTGAGTGTGGGGAACGTCCGTTAGTGCTGATGTGTTCAGGGAGGGGCCGTGTGTGTCTCATCCGGAGAAGCAGACTCATCCTGTTTAATCAGAAGATTGCAACCAAAATAACTACAGAAACGTTTTAGTTTAGAGTTTTTTCAAACTTGATAACGGAACGATGCAACGTTGGCAGATGAATTAAAACTTCCTCAGATGTCATTTTAAAACATTGGTGCTTAATAAAAATGAGTTTAACCTCTCCTTTTTCTTTTTATGAGCTCATTATGGGATGCACACCGTTCCCATCGTCTGAGATGAGTGAGAATCTCTAACTAGCATGTTTTGTTGTTCCCTCCTCCAGCTGTGTGTTATTCTGGAGCCCATGCAGGAGCTCATGTCCAGGCACAAGACATACAGCCTCAGCCCCAGAGACTGCCTCAAGACCTGCCTCTTCCAGAAGTGGCAACGGATGGTGGCACCGCCTGGTATGTGGCCACCCAGCAGCAATACACACACACACACACACACACACACACACACACACACACACACACACACACACACGTAACTGCTCTCCCTGTCCCTGCTGTGCAGCTGAGCCATCGAGACAGGCCCCTAACAAGCGCCGGAAGCGTAAGCCATCAGGTGGCAGCACCATCAGCGGAGGGGGAGGGGCCAGTAATAACAGCAACAACAAAAAGAAGAGTCCTGGTAGTGGCTTCCCGCTATCCAGCCAAGTTCCAGTGAGTACAACACCGTCATCTAGTGGCAATGCTCAGCTTCTACACCTGTCACGAGTCCATAGTGGACGTTGTCCCTAACCTGCTGACATTTAAAAGTCAGAGACAGCAGCATGCAAATGGACCAATGACTTAATATTCTCCTTCAAAAGGCAGCTGAAGACTCATCTCCTTACTCTGTTCTTATCCCGCCTTTCCCGGGATCCACAGGTTTCCCTCTGTCCTTTTCATTTTCCCTCTCCCTTTCCTTACATTTTTATTCACAAATTACATTTCTTCTCATTTTAAACATATTTTTAAAGGTTTTTTTAAAATAGTTTTTGTGAAGCACCTCATGATTTTTATCGTGAGAGGAACTTTAAATAAGATTGTTTTCTTTCTTTAGTATCGTTCTTATTTTTCACCAGTTTGCAGTCAGAACTGGACTGGCCTGCCGGACTCACCCTCTAGAAGAAGACATCTTTTATAAAGCGCCTCTAGATAAAAATCACGAGGCGCTTCACAAAAACAAACAAAAAGGAAATTAAAGGATAAAAAGATTTGAAAGGGAGTCAAAATATATTTAAAAGGAGAAAAGAACAAAAATATTTAAGGAAAGGGAGAGAGAAAATGAAAAGGAAAGATGGAAATCTGTGGATCCTGGGAAAGGCAGAACCAGGAGGGGTGGTGATGAAGGTCCCACCAAACCTGAACAGGTGAGTTTAAAGGAGACCACTGAGTCCACTGATCTCAGGCTCAGGGGGAGAGAGGTCCAAAGTCTGGGGGCCACAGCAGCAGATGATCTGTTACCTTTGACCTTCAGCCTGGTGCTGCACAACCAGTAGGCTTTGGTCACTGGACCTCAGGGACCTGCTGGGGGTGTAGGGACTGAGAAGATCACCAGTGTAAGATGGTGCTTGTCCATGTAAGGTCTCTACACAGAGGGCGAGTCTGGATACTCGGAGGCAGAGAGCACCATGAGGGGCGGGACTAGCCAGCTCAAAAACAACCAATCAGAAAAAAGGCAGAAATGATGACTGTGTAGGGCTGTAGCGAAGCCTCGACGAAGTCGACGGCTCGATTCTAAAAATTTGTCGACGTCAGATCCGGAAGTCGACGCACCGCGCCCACTTGTTGCATCCCCAGGAGTTTGTAAATAGAGGAGGAATCTGCCTGTTTTTCCTGTAGTTCGCCCTCTTCTCCGCCTTCACTAACATCTCCGCCAAATACCGAAGACCCGGAACAACGTCCGTCCACTACTAGATTATTTTCCTGTTTTGCCCCTTCGTCTCCCGGCAACGGACAACAACTTCCGGGGTCAGATGCGCTGCTTCGTGTCTATCGCAGATGTAGGACATCACCGGGAGCGTTTCTCCCTTCATAAAGGAGCTTCTTTCAGACATGAGGAGAGCTGTTTTGGTGGTAGCAGTCTCTCCTCCGTGCTGGTCTGTTTGCTGCTGGGTGTTTTTGGTTTATTTAAACTTGGTAACTTGAACTTAATGTTGGTAAAGCTACTGTTAGCATCTTCGCTAACAGCTTCTTGCGTTGGGATAAGCTGTTACGTTTTGGTTTAGAGTTAATCTTTTTTGTGGTGTAGATCTCCCTTTTATTACATTTAGAGTGTTGTGGGTTTTCGGTTTAGTGTAAAATATCACCTGAGTTTGGTTTAACCCGTAAGACCACTCGCCTCACGCACATAAGTGACCAAAACAAAGCAGCATGGAGACACTCCATCTTCTACCACCTCTCAGGCAGCAGCCTGCACTCCCAAGTTCTACACGTCACCAGAACATAACCAACCAACACAATAAAAGCAGTGTTATACAAAATGGAAGGCCTGTACTGTTTATTCTCTTACAGTAAGAATTTATCAATTTTTTTGAGGAAATTATTTGAGATTTTCTGGTTTTTGTTAATTGTGCAATAGAAAAATAATCATTAGATTAATTTTCTAAATAGTCATTAGAATAGTCGACTATTCGATAAAATAATCGTCAGAATAATCGTTTTAAAAATAATCGTTTACCCCCAGCCCTATGACTGTGGTTTTTATTTATTTATTTATTTATTTATTTATTTATTTTTGCTGTAGTCAAAGATGGCATCTGGCAATGACATGTCCAAGTCATTTAGAACAGAGGAAAGAGCCACTCCACTTCAGACACCATCATCGTTGTTTATGAGATGCTGAGCGTCACGGTATGTGAGCAGTTATGTGTGACGCCTCAAAAAGCGTCACCTGCTCAGCTATTAAAACCACTAGCAGGGTGAAAAATATCGAAATATTGTAGCACAGACGGCTACATTCTTTGGATCATTTTTATGCAAACTGCTTTATTAATTATCTTCTGTCGAAAGATAACTTTGAGGTAAATGAGTGACTGGTATTGGTTGCTGTCACCTGTTGTGATCTGTTAAAGCAGCTCTCTACTATCTGAGGGTAGGCCCCGCCCACAACGCCGCGGCTGCTGCGGCTCCCACTGTTTTCTTTACTGTGGGAAACGGGTAATAATGGCTCTTTGATGGGAAAAGGTTGCCGACCCCTGTCCTAAACCTATCTCCTGCAGCAGCTTCTGGTAGAAGATAGTCTCCTACACCTATCTCCTGCAGCAGCTTCTGGTAGAAGATAGTCTCCTACACCTATCTCCTGCAGCAGCTTCTGGTAGAAGATAGTCTCCTACACCTATCTCCTGCAGCAGCTTCTGGTAGAAAACAGACGGTGAAACTCACCACATCACCTAAGACCTGGTTAGCTGGCTCGTTAAAAACTTGCTTTTGGATCCTGCCTCTTAACATATTTAGAATCGAGAAACGATGGGAATCAGAATTGAAACGAGGAATTGGAATCGTTCAAATTCAAACGATGTCTAACCCATCCCTGACCTGTAGAAGGCATTCTCCAATTTTCCGACTCCAGACCAAGGTCTCGGATTTGGAGGAGCTGATTCTCCTCCCAGCTGCTTCACACTCTGCTGTGAACCGCTCCAGCGAAAGCCCAAGATCTCGTTCTGATAGACTTTCTCTTTTGGCTTTTCCCTTCAGGTGTTGCCACGGCGAATCACCTGTCTCCATTAAGTCGTAGTTTGCCAACGATGCTCGGTTCACTGCAGCAACTTGAGCAAAAACTCAGAGCCACCCAACAGAAAGTTACGCTGATGCACAAAGAGAAATTGGCTGACGGACTGCCCATCGTTGAGTTTCTCAGGCGCTGCCGCCGGGGTTACAGGCGTTGTGCAGAGAACAGTTAACCTGCCGGCCGTGGTGCCGTGTGGCTGAAGTTGTAAACGTGGTTTTCTGCCCATGAGGAGTGGAGGGGCTGGATCCCTGTTGGCTCCGTTTAGCTCCTACTGGATTTAAAATATGTTCATGCAGGAACTGACCCTCTGGGACCAGATCTGGACTCAGCTCTGTTAAGTGTTGAACACCGCCATCAAACCAACAGTCTTTGTTGGAAATGCAGAGAAGAGTCTTGTTGTGGACAGCACTAGTTTGCTGGCTGAATGCTTAGGAGGGGATAAATGGCTTGTTGGAGGTGTGAGTGATGTGATCTAACGCTTGCCGCTGTGTTGTCACCACAGGATGTGATGGTGGTGGGAGAGCCCACTCTAATGGGCGGGGAGTTTGGTGATGAGGACGAACGTCTGATCACACGGCTGGAGAACACGCAGTTCGACGCGGCCAATGGAATCGACGACGAGGACAGCTTCAACAACTCTCCAGCGCTGGGCTCCAACTCGCCCTGGAACAACAAGGCCCCCTCCAGCCAAGAGAGCAAGAGCGATAACCCCACCTCCCAGGCATCGCAGTAGAGCCCAGAGCCCCACAACGTCTACACAACCCCGTCTCAGCCCCACCACCCCACCCTACCTCTGGAGCCATGACTGCAGCCCAGTCAGTCTGACCTTTGACCCAAACACTGCTGTAGCGCTCAAATCCACCCACAGCTAGCTCCAGTCTGCCCCCCACGGAGCCAGAGACATTTTTATTTCAGCGCTGATCCTTTCTACTTGTAGGCCCTGGCTCCCAGCGCTGCTTAGTTTCCTTTTAGCCGTTATGGAAAACGTCCCATCTGCTGTTGCTGAGTTTTCTTCTTTCATTCTCTCAGACGGCGATTGGGTTGACTAATAAGTAGCAGGAATTTATTCCACGAAAGATTTCAGTACACCAACCTGTCGGAACCGAAGGGTGCCGACGTGGAACGGATGGGGTGGAGGGGATGCTGGAGGCGGGGCTTCGCGAGGGCGGCGAGCTGCTTAGGGACTACTCACCCACTCGTTAAACAAACACGGCCCTGGATTGTGGTCTGATCTGCTGAGGCACAAGTGTGTGTGTGTGTGTGCGTGTGTGTGTGAGAGAGAGAGAGAGTTTGTGGCTTTGCTGAAGCAGATGGATCAGAATTAAACGACCGTCATTAAAACAATTGAAATGAACATACTAGTGGTCAGGTGGCACTGGGGTAATGACACACACACACACACACGTTCGAAGGATTTTGAGTACCCTGGTGCCTGAACCATCTAATTAGACAATTGTGAATGCAGTTTTTAAAATGGGAAGCATTTACAACACACACATACACACACACACACACACACACACACACACACACACACTTTCAGAGTTTTTATACAGTATATATATTTCCCTAGAATGTTTTTTTATTTGTATTAAAACAGCTTCATTTCAATAGTTTTTTTATTTTCTACCAATACTAAAAAGCTACAGACCAAGGAGCAACGCAGGACTTTTACACCCCCCCACCCCCCCAATATATTGTCCTTTTCTGTTTATAAAAGAGGAATAATTTAGTGTGGATGTTTTTGTTTTGTTTGTTTTATTTGGAGAGTTTTTGTGTATTTGTGCTTGTATATTTAAGGTAGTAGCAAAGTTCTGTCTGACTGTAATAAGATGTATTCTTACTTAGATTTACCTGAAGCCATCCCGATCTAATGTAAAGAAACAATTAGGAGAAAAAACACCTGTGGCCCCGCCCCCTTTCCCCGCCCACCTGCTGTCTTTCCTTCTTCCTCCTTTTTTAAAACTTGTGTAAATGAAATTTCAAATCCCGGGGGTACAACGGCACCATGAAGAGATGATTTTTTTAATTTATTCTGGACGTTTCAGGAACTCTGTTGCAGAAATTGAGTTGAGCTTTCATCACACTTCTCTATTTGGATGTCACGTGAATGTGATCAATGAACCTGTTAACCCAACAACCTTCATGTTTCATCGCTGGCTTTTTTAAACCTAGTTTAAGGTCAAAAGTCGTCTTTAATTGTATAATCTTGTTCATAACCATCACACCAGCTTCACGTTAGGCTCCGTCTGCATATTTGGTTTCCGTGTCGATTCTGTAAAGTTGAATAGAAACCTGCTGAGGTTCTGTTGTTTGTACATTTCTATCTTTATGTTGGAGCTGATTCTGGCAACACTGATGATTACGTTTAATTGGTGACTTGTACCTTCTCCAAACCCTGTAGAGAAATCATGGTTTGATATATATTTTTTTGATTTGGTTAGTTTCTGCCCTTAATAATTAATGTATGGTACCAATAAAAAGATACATTTTCACTTTAAAAGACTTTGTGGTCAGGATTTTATGAATAATGTGACTTAATGCAGAGGTTCAGTTCATGATCACCTCTGGAGTCTTTGATGGTTTAGCTGACTGGAGGATTTACCTGTCCAACAGCTTTCCATACATTTATAGAATCACACTAATCTGAATAAATTTGCATCTACGAAACTCACCACAACTGCTTAAATAACGCTATCCTAACATACGTTACTCGAAAGACAGGAGCCACCAAAATCCAAAACTGAATCGGGCTGAAAGCCGTCCTCGTGTCTCCAAACCAGCTGTGAAACATTTATTAGTGTAAAATCATGCATCTGACCTGAAGCATTCGGGTGACCAGGATAGAGTTTGGGCCCTCACCTCCCTGTGTTTGGATCTGCAACTAAATGCTGATGATGAAACCTACAGCTTGTGTTCAGCACCCCCTCCTCTATACAAGACCTTAAAGCCAGACGTGCAAGTAAACAGAAGTTTGAAGATGGCCGATGATGTCATCATTGAAGGTCAAACCAAGAGGAGGTTCGTCATGTGGGGTTGTGCACAGCGAGCAGCCTGTTGATGTCCATAAAAACGAGTGGATGATTGAGTAGGACAGAGCTGAGACAACTCCTGTTAGTTGGAGCAAGTGAGCAGAGGTGGGGACGAGTTTTGGAAATCTTCAATTCTAAACAGCTTCATGTCTCAATTATGTCATTCAAATATAGGAATAGGAAATAATTAGCGCAAGTTACTAATCTCAAAAAAGTATTTGATTTATCTGAGATCAAGTTAGAAGAAAAAAGTAATTAAAGGATTTCTTCACAGTTGGTGGTCAAAATGATCGCCTAGGTTCCACCTTGAGCCTCTGAGAACTATGTTATGGTTAATGGTCACTATTTTCAACTATAATGACCTTTTTCTATTATGATTGCTTGTTTTCTTGTGTACTTCGTACCTTTGTCTTATTATTCATCTCTTTCCCGTTCCTCACATTTTTCGCAATTTTTATTTTTGCCATCGTAAAATACTTTATTTTTTGTTTTTGTTTTTGTGAAGCGCCTCGGGATTTGTATTTTGATTTTCTTCAGTTTTTTACGTTTATTTGTTTTCAGCGTCAGTATCTATATTTGGTCACGTGATTCCGACGCGAGCGAAGGTCGGGCGCTAGGACCCGGAAGAACCGCAAGGCGCAGAAGACAGCAGCATGCTAGCTAATTCTGCTATCACGGGGATTCCTGAACCACATTTACGCTGTACATGTTGATAATTTAATGAGGTAAGATTATGTGACATCGTACTTTTTAAACTATATAACATTTTCATTTAGCCATTAATCATACACATGTTTCTGTCAGGTAGCTACATCGGTGTTAACATTAGCATTATGTGATGCAGCCTAGCTAGGTCGCGTTTGCTAAAAGATGTTTAAACGCGTCAGGAAGTAAACAAGTAAACGCAGAAAAGTTTTAATCAAATTGTGATAAGATTGGTCAAAAATACCTTCTGGTAACCAACTGGTTATGTGACAGTTTCATAAGACGCTATTATTTTGAGTAAGTTAATGTCAGTTAGCATAAACCATAATCAATATTTACACCATCAATATTAGCTCGAGTCAGTTGTGAATGCTCCAGATTAGGAATTAATTAAAAATGTTTATAACTCGTCTTTATTATGTTACTCTCTTGATAAATCCATCTAGAACGTATGCTTATACGTTATTTATTCGTGAATGTGTAAATTATTACCGTGTGAAATATTTACTGTAGTAAACACGAAGTAGACCCGAGGCAAACGAGACAATTTAGTGGGATGCTTGGTGAGCTAAGGACAGCGATAACTGTATATAACAATAACAACAATACTATTATTATTAATAAACAATGCAGAATCACTTAATTGCAGGTAACATTTACTGTGTGCAGGACGCCAATGGACGGATCAGTTCCTAAAACTAAGATAATTGTACAAAACTTATAGAAATGTACGTTTATAACTCATATTTCAGAGTCAAATGAGTTTTATCTTGACGGTTTGTCTGTAATCTGACCTGCTTAAGGGGTTGTTGTTTATTTTGTTTTTTCCAGCAGGTGTATTTTATATAAGTGATTGGATCACAGATCAGATGTTTGATGACGTAGAAATATATTAATAGAAAGATATCAGAACTTAAAGAAGATGATACAATCCTCTTCAGACAAATAACAAACCGTTTGACATCAAAGAATTTTCTCTTTGGTCTTGATGCTCATATAGCAGTAAAGGTTTTAAATATAAACAGATATTTCAGTTTTCCTGGTAGTGTTCAATCAAAGAGCAATGTGACAAAAACAATAAGTTACTTAGATGTTAAGTACGTACATAAAGATAACCTGCATTTGAGCCTCTTGACTTTTCTGTTTGCTAATTCAAGCCAAATGACTCTTCTATTAGCTGATGGATCCATTTTTAAATGTAAACAAGTCAAAATAGTTTGTTCACTTAATGTTATTAAAGTTATAACTTATTCACTGATGAAAAAGTGGCATTTATTTATATTTCTGTCAAACTGGTGCAGAAATAAACATCAGTCCCTTCTCCAGACACCACTACTGTACACGGCAGATAGCATGTAGGTCTAGTTACAGAAATGTACGTTTATAACTCATATTTCAGATTCAAATGAGTTTTATCTTGACTGTTTGTCTGTAATCTGACCTGCTTGAGGGGTTGTTGTTTATTTAGTTTTTGCCAGCAGGTGTATTTTATATAAATGATAAAACCAGTTTACCTTGAGGGATGTTAAAGTCTCCCAGTAAAGCACAGGAAACACTTCAGATAAATCTGAAAGTCTGAACATGTCAGATGTTGGGCTGGGTTGTTTGTGGGTAGTTTTATTACCTGCTAGAGCTGCTCTCTGGAAGACTAAAGTCAGCAAACACAGAGACCGCAGAGAAAGGCCCTACTCACTCGAGATGGACCTTATACTTAAGTCTGAAAGGTTCTAGCCTAAATAATAAAGATTTTAAAAGATGCACCTGAGCTGTAACTATGGTAACGCAAGATTCCATAGCTTTACCATAGTGACAGTCTATCATAGGTGACAGACAGGCTCCATAGGAAGCCTAAGTCATGCCCATCTACTTCCGGACCACGGGTCCCCAGAAAAACAAAACAATGAATGCAAATCAACGGGGCTAAAGACGCTATTTTCTAATTCTGCTTGTTATGTGCCATGGATTTCACATATGATGTCCATGAAGATGCATTTTAATACCAAGAACGCACTTATTTTCGAAAAGGGGGGGGGGGGAGACTTTATTTTAAGTTTTGTGTAATAAGTCCAGGACTACAAATGCGCTTTATGAAAGTGACATCATCGAAGCAGACACGGAGAAAAACAGAAGGGAAAATGGCACAGATTCTGTGGTGACGTCTTATATGCAACGTGCCGATGTCGGATTTGTAGTCATGCTAACATTGAACTTTTACAAGCTGATAAATTTCAAAGTACCTGACTGGCGTGATTGAAATACTCATCGTTGGATTACGTTTAAATTGAAGTACAACATGTGTGTGATCCAGGACGTAAGGCAAAGCAGATTAGAAAATAGCGTTTTTAGCCCCGTTGACTTGCATTCATGTTTTCGTTCTTCCGGGGACCCGTGAGCCGACCGGGAAGAGAGGAGACCTAGGCTCCTTATTGTAGTGAAGTAGGAAGTACAGCTAGTGGCTTTAAAAATTAGTGAAGTAAAAGTAAAAAGTAGACCTGAAGAAAATAAGTAAAGTACAAATAAAGAAATCTTTACATATTATATTATATTCAATAACTTCATTACTTTTTAAAAGATTTACTTTTTGTTTCCATTTTAAATTCTGTCATCCTGTCCCTCTAAATGCGATTTAACATAAAAGGAGCCATCATCAGGTGTACCTCTTATGCATAATAATGATCGGATCACAGACCAGATGTTTGATGACGTAGAAATATATTAATAGAAAGATATCAGAACTTAAAGAAGATGATACAATCCTCTTCAGACAAATAACAAACCGTTTGACATCAAAGAAATTTCTCTTTGGTCTTGATGCTCATATAGCAGTAAAGGTTTTAAATATAAACAGATATTTCAGTTTTCCTGGTAGTGTTCAATCAAAGAGCAATGTGACAAAAACAGTAAGTTACTTAGATGTTAAGTACGTACATAAAGATAACCTGCAGTTGAGCCTCTTGCCTCTTCTGTTTGCTAAATCAAGCCAAATGACTCTTCTATTAGCTGATGGATCCATTTTTAAATATAAACAAGTCAAAATAGTTTGTTCACTTAATTTTATTAAAGTTATAACTTATTCACTGATGAAAAAGTGGCATTTATTTATATTTCTGTCAAACTGGTGCAGAAATAAACATCAGTCCCTTCTCCAGACACCACTACTGTACACGGCAGATAGCATGTAGGTCTAGTTTAGGTCTGAAACGATTCCTCGAGTACCTCGAATAATTCGAGTACAAAAAAAAAATCCTCGAGTCGAATTCTCTGTCTGGAGGCTTCGTTTAATTAAATCATGGCCTAGCAATCGCCCGGGGTCATGTTTCACCCGGACCGAAATAAGTGACGCACATACACACACTGCACTGAATGCACACGCGAGTAGCGAATGTAACTTCGCTTTCTCTTAAGCCATGGCGGACAACGTGGACCCCGGTGGAGTGCGAAAAAGACAGAAAATGTCAAAGGTGTGTGACAATTTTTCACGTCGTAAGGCAGAAAATGTAGTCCAGTGTAAATACTGTAAAATGGATTTAGCCTACCACAACAACACATCCTCCATGCTGCAACCTGACCAGGAAACATCCACATGTAAATGTCTCTTCTGCAAGCGGACTCGGAGCCTCTACAGGATAATGCATTTTAGTCTGTATTTCTATATATTCTGCGGACACTGTGCGACTTTTCGTTTGTAGTACTTGGTTTCAGCTCACGCTGTGCGTCTGGTAGCAACACGTCGGACCTAAAAATGTGCTAAAAATAGCAGTTTTTACACAACACGTCAGACTTTGTATTGTGTTGTTAGTGGTGTCTGTTGTCCCTCGGGATTGCTGCAGGAGGACGCAGGTATTTATGAGGAAAACGAAAGAAAGTAAACGTTTTGTGATCAGTATAATTTGACATAACCACGGCAAACATGCTTTCTCGACAATCCTTGTTATTGTGTGGGAAAAAAGTGTAGAAATTAAAACGGACGTGTGTTAATAGGGAAACAGCTGGCGAGCCATGTTTGCGCGTGCGTCGTGAGCGGTTCTGGTGCTGTTTGGGCCGCAACCGTTCGCTGTGCTACTTCAACAGTTATCCTCCTAGTTTTTGTCTGGTTTGCAGGCTGGTAGATTCTCACACGAGGGGAAAATCGGCTCAGGTTGTGTACTTATTTTTTGCACAGGCATTTGTTTACTGTGAAGTAAAGTTGAAGTGCTGAAGTTTTGAAAACTAATTTTGAATAAAACTTGAAGAGTAACTGGCAATTGCGTGCTCATTTTAAGAGGTCTTTCATATTTTATAACGTGCTATTTGATCTAATGGTTTACAAACACAAAAGGGTAATTTATTAGAGTACTCAATTAATCGATAAAAGACTCGATAACAAAAAATATTCGATAGCTGCAGCCCTACAAAACTGTATAATATGTCAACAGTACGCAGTCAAATAATATAACATTTTTCCCGGAACTGCGCTGTTCTGGGTGGCCGCATGTTGGAGTAGCTCTGTTGACTATATGTAAGTTTTGCCTTTTCTTGGGCATTTTTTCTTCTAGTTTCTCAAGAAAAACTATTTTTTGGACACTTTACTTTTCTGTTTCTGGTGCTGTGAAGCTTGGAGGATTTTTACTGCAATGTTTTAGCTTTTTTCACTTTTTGAGCATTTGTTATGATGTGTAACCATGGCAGCAAGCTGGCTTGCAATCGGGAGCAGCTGATTAACATGGGAAAGGCTGAAATAATATCTCAACTGAAGCCACAAATCCCAAATGAGCTAAAACGCGAGGGGCATGGATGCGGAGCGGGGACGGAGAGGAAGGAGGTTCATACCATCTCTTCCATCGATCATAATGGACAATGTGAGATCACTGGCCAACAAGATGGAGGAACTCCAAGCCCTTTCAAGGACTCAGCCTGAGTTTCGGCAGTTTTGGAACCGCTGGAGGAGATAATGCAAAGAAGGATTCTCCAGAGAATCAAGAAAATTATGGACAACCCTGAGCATTCTCTTCACAAGACTGTCCGACAACGGAAGAGTGTCTTCAGTCAGAGGCTTCTTCAGTTTCGCTGCAACACTGACCGCTACTGGAGACCCTTCCTGCCAACGACTGTGTCCGACTGGTCTCTCTATTGTGCACCCAATCCAACACAAAATTACACAACGCAGAGTCCGGGGTGTAGGGAGGCTCCTGCACGGGTTGGGTTACAGTTAATATACAATAACTCTTTGATGACTTGATTATTATTATTATTCTGAGCTACTACAGCAATCAATTTCCCTCTGGGATCAATAAAGTATTTTTGAATAGAATAGAATTGAATTGAATAATATAAATTGCCAGTACCCCCATGCCAGACATCAGACACAATCACAGTTTCTTGTTTGGGGCAGCAGTAGCTCAGGTGGTAGAGTGGGTTGCCTCATGATCATCATGGGTTCGATTCCAGCTCCCGCCAGGGGTATCCTGCTGTTGTACCCTTGGGCAAGACACTTCACCCAACTTGCCTGTGTTAGTGGTGGTCAGAGGGGCCGACGGCGCCAAATGGCAGCCTCGCCTCTGTCAGACCTCCCCAGGGCGGCTGTCGCTACCAGTAGCTTACCATCACTAGCAGTGTGTGAATGTGAGAGTGTGTGAAAGCGTCTTTGGGTGTCTAGAAAAGCGCTATATAAGTTCAATGCATTATTATTATTATTAATAATCTTTTTTTGTCAATTTTAATTTAGACTGACTACCAATGTACTCAGTTGGTTTCAGCATTATGGATGTGCAAGACTCACCTTTTACATCCTTTTGCCACACCGTAACACACCATACCACTTTATTGCTAGGGATGGGAGTGTGTGGCCAGGTTCAGCGTGTGAGCCCTGAAAGCGGGTTTCAGTGGAAATAAAACCGAGGCTGAGTTGTTTGGGCCGAATCGTGACTTTGATAATGAAATTCCTACCTGAGTGTTTCTGCAGTGGATCTTGTTGTAAAGATGGACAGTGCCTTCTGCTTTGATGCTCATGTTAGTGCTGTGGTGTCTTCCTTTTCTCACCTTCTCACCGCTTGGCTAAAGTAAAACCTTTCCTGACTTGACGGGATCTTCAGACGGTGGTTCATGCCTTCATTACCTCACACCTAGACAACTGTAACCGTCTTATTTGGTGTAGGGCAGAGTACTGTAGCTCGCTTGCAGCTCGTTCTGAATGCTGCAGCGAGAGTCTTGGAAGGCAAGCGAAAACTCCGCATTGGCTACCTGTCAGTTTTAGAGTTAGTTTTAAACTTCGTTTATCGGTGTTTAAGGCGCTGAATGGGTTGGCTCCAGCCTGTTGGACTGAGATGTTTCAGGCATACGTTCCTGATCTGGCACTCTGCTCCGAGGACCCGCTGCTGCTTTTGGCCCCCAGAGCTTGGCTGAAGGGGGATAGGGCGTTCTCCGTAGTGGTCTAAAACGTCCCTCATTAGGCTCTCCTCATCAGTGGTGGCTTTTAAAACGAGGCGGAAGACCTACTTTTACCTTTGGTTAGCTGTTACTGATATTTTATATCATCTTACCTTGTTGTTTTAGTTTCCTCTGTTCATGTAATCATTTTCATCCTGTTTCACAGGCAAATATACATTTTTCTGCATGTGACTTTTATTTTGAAAGTTTCTGTATGTTTTACACATCCCACTGCTTTTGTGTTTGACTTCCTGTCTGGACTGATCTAAACTGCAGAGTTTGACGTGCTTTGGGAGTGTAGTCCTAGCATCCCTTTGCTTCTGGGAGGCCGGTGGAAAGGAACCCGTCCACCAAAACCGCAGCTAATTACCCCGATGTAGGAAAGGAGGGGTTAACCCGCTGAAATAGTTTATGTGAGAGAGATTTAGTACAAAGGACTCCATAAACGTGTTTTTTATAGACCACAGGACTATTATTTCTTTTTAAAACAGTTAAAAGTGCTTTAAAATTTTCTACGTTTTATCCACAGCATCTCCTTCTGCAGACTCAGTCATGTCTCAAGTGGAGAAGAAAGCGGGCCTGCTGAGGAGGACGTCCTCATCCAAAAAACCTTTGAAGGAGAAGGTTGTTCTTATGTACGATGAGATTTTTGCGGTGAGAATCACATTGGAAATAAGTCTTTTCTACAAAGAAAAGAAGATTTTAATGCTAATAACCAAGTACTTCCTGCTTTTGATTCAGAAAGAAGACCCAGGCAAGAACAACCCTCGCTTCTGGGATGAGTTGTTTCTCATGAAGGTGCTTCTTTAGGAATGTGTCCGGACTTTGCTGTAACTTGGTGTTTGTTTGCTGAGTGTCTGAGGGCCGGCACAGTGCGTAATTATAAATCTGAATAAAAGATAAACTACTCATTTCACATTTCAGACAAAGGCCAGAAAAAGGTTGCACTGCTTGGTTTTGAGCTGTTGGCTCATCTCTTCTAACAGAATTAGCTTAGCTTAGCTTAGGGTAAAGTAGTGAAATAGATGCATCTTGTTTCCTTCCTTCTCACTTCTTGTGGGTCTGTTTCGATGTTTGCTCCAGGTGAACCTAGAGTACCTAGAGTCCAAGTTAGAGAGCATCGATGGAGAGGAAGTGCAGCGTATCCAAGACAACATCAACTCTTTGTTTCATCACTGCGTCCAGGCGCTTGGAGAGGAGCATCAGATCAAAGTGGTCAACGCCCTTCAGGTGACTAAGTCAGCTGTTCTGCTACCAGTTAGCTCTATTCAGTAAACGCTGTAGACTACTCGGGGACCTCTGTGCTCTCTGCTCTTCTCTCCAGACTCTCTGTGCACTTTTCCGAGGAGTTCACCATAAGAACAAATCGGCGTCTGGCTTTGATATCATCAACATGCTGATGGGCTTCGACAAGGCTGAACAGAGAATGAAGGTAAATGAGAAAACTGCTTTCTTTGAGGTCAAAAACTCGTTGTATAAATGGAGCCAAAGGACGGGGACTGCTGGAGAGTAATCTTGCATCCCTTCATAGGTTTTTGGTGTTTGTGTCCCCGTTAGGACCTGATGGAGAGACTGGACAGCCTTCTTTGTGGAGACGGCTCAGAGAGTCTTAAAAGCCTCTGTCTAAAGTTGTTACTCTGCTTGGTGACGGTGAGAAGAAATCCTGGAAAACAGCAACTTTTTCTGAAGCTACAGAGGTTGTTTGTTGGGCTGATGAAACCTTTTTTTCTGCAGGTCACTGACAACATCAGCCAGAACACTCTACTGGAATACGTGATGATCAATAGCATCTTTGAAGCCATTCTCCAAGTACAGAAATTAAATTCTGGGGTGTTTGTTTCATTAGCAAACCACTGTTGCCGGTTGGTTATCCGTGTCTGTCCTCTCCGTCCTGCTCAGGTTCTCTCTGATGTGTCCAGTAGGGGGCAGCATGGTTATGATGCTGTTGTTCTTCTTGCTCTTCTGGTCAACTATAGAAAATATGAGGTGTGTATTATGTCCATTTCTCACCGCTGAAACTGTTCCCAGGTGTGAAGTCTCTTGTTGTGAAACACTTTCCTGCAGAACCAAACTTTTTAGCTACAAATTTTAAACTTGATGCCTTCCTGCTGCATAGAAAGAAAAAGAAAAGACGATTCCACAAGCGAAGAATAAGCTGGCATTAGCAGTGTTAGAGAATCTAATCCTAACCTCAGCAGACAGACCCAGACCGTCCTCTCCACAGCAACTTTAACCTTCTGCACCCGTTGGTTCTATCAGCGTGTCCCGGGTCCACCCAGGGGCCTCCTGACAGCCGAACATGCCCAAAAACCTCCTGTAGGAGGCGTCCAGGAGGCGTTGTGATCAGTTGGTCAGGTCACCGCCCAGTGTGGTGGAGCAATGGCCCTACTCAGATTCCCTCCTGGATGTATGAGCTCCTCACCCTATCTCTATGAGTATAAAATAAGCACCCAACCCAGAGAGTTACTGGTGTCCCTCCCAGAGCCAGGCCTGGGGTCGGGGTCCCTGTACGAGCTTTTACCTACAAGGCACTGCCCGAACAAGTTGCTAGAGTAGTTCAAACTCCGACTGCTAGGTGGCAGCAGTTTTTTACTGCCTTCGTGGTGGAACTGCAGAGTCTTGTGATAACAGAATGTGTTTGGAATCATCTGGCCCGAGTTTCCATTAAATCCATTTAAAAACTTTTAAATATCATCTGTAGTCGCCTGCTGGTGGTGGAGCTCGGCAGCCTCTGTCAGCGCGCCCCAGGGCAGCTGTGGCTACACCGTAGCTCATCCCCACCAGCGTGTGAATGGATGAATGACTGATTGTGCTGTATAGCACCTTGGGGGGTTTCAGGACTCTAGAAGGCACTGTATCAAATACAGGCCATTTACCATATCTAGCTTTTAGGATCAGGATGGAGAGTATCTAGAGATGACAGTTAACTGCATAACTAGCGTACAGGTCGTAACCGGTTAATTGCTGTTCACGTCCTTCAGCTGCGCTTGTGTGTAATATTGTAGCAGTTAAACACACAGAGTCTGTGATGTCATCGGTGTTGAACAGCAGAACAGTTCTCATCAGCTTTCACGAGTCCGGTCAAGGACAGACACACTCCTCTCTCACGGCTCAAACAGGCCACACCCACATGCCGCTAAGCACACTGGGAAACAGGAAGTAAATTCCCCCAGCAACTGCTGCAATATACTTTGTGCCACTAGAGGGTGTGAGAGCACTGTTGGCTGAAAACCCACAGTAGAGGAGAACTTGTCATTCACACGAGTCGAACACATTTACTCAAAGATGAAGCAATCCAGAACGAGCGCAGTGTGGGAGGATTTTATTCTGGGTAGTGAACAGAACGAGGCCCACGTCTGGAGCGACGACTCTGGCAGGATGTGGAACAGAGACCAGCAGCAGGTCAGTCTGCCATGACGCCGCTGCTTCTCATTGGTTTAGTGAAATAAAGAATTGTCTGTGTCCCATCATCTCCCCTGTACTGTAGACTCACTGGCCACTTTATTGGGTACACCTGTTCAACTGCTCGTTAATGTCGATTGCTAATCAGCCAATCACGTGGTGGCAACTCAGTGCATTTAGGCAGGTTGAAATGATCGAGGCGATCCGCTGCAGTTCAAACCAAGCTTCAGAATGAAGAAGAAAGGTGACTCAAGTGTTTTTGAACGTGGCATGGTTGTTGGTACCTGACGGGCTGGTCTGAGTATTGCAGAAACTGCTGATCTTCTGAGATTGTCACACACAACCAACTCTAGGGTTCACAGAGAGTGGTCCGAAAAAAGGGAAAACGTCCTTGTTGATGCCAGAGGTCAGAGGAGAAGGGCCAGACTGGGTGGAGCTGACATCAAGGCAACAATAACTCCAGTAACCACTTGTTACAACCAAGGCATGCAGAAGAGCATCTCTGAATGCACAACATGTTGAACCTTGCAGCAGATGGGCTAGAGCAGCAGAAGACCACACCGGGTCCCACTCCTGTCGGCTAAGAACGGGAAACTGAGGCTACAGTTCACACAGGCTCACCAAAACTGGACAGTAGAAGACTGGAAAACTGTTGCCTGGTGGGATGAGTCTGGATTTCTGCTGCAACATTCAGATGGTAGGGTCAGAATTTATCATCAATATGGAGGCATGGATCCATCCTGCCTTGCATCTACGGTTCAGGCTGGTGGTGTGGGTGTAATGGTGTGGGGGACATTTTCTTGGTACACTTTGGGCCCCTTAGTACTGATTGATCACCGTTGCAACGCCACAGCCTACCTGAGTGTTGTTGCTGACCACGTCCGTCCCTTTAAGACAACAGTGTACCATCTTCTGATGCTACTTCCAGCAGGATAAGGCTCCATGTCATAAAGCTGGAATCCTCTCAGACTGCTTTCTTGAACGTAACAATGAGTTCACTGTACTCAGACGGCCTCTACAGTCACCAGGTCTCAGTCCATCAGAGCACCTTTGGGATGTGGTGCAAAGGGAGCTTCACATCATGGATGTGCAGCCAACACATCTGCAGCACCTGTGTGATGCTGTCATGTCAACATGGACCAGAGTCTCTGAGGAGTGTTTCCAGTACCTTGTTGAATCTATGCTACGGAGGATCAGGGCAGTTCTGAAGGCAAAAGGGGTCCGACCCGGTACTAGCAAGGTGTACCCAGTAAAGTGGCCAGTGAGTGTGTATCGTATCGTCTCCCTGCACTGTGATGTGCATCTCTGCCAAGACACAGCCATAATAATAACTGCTGCTCTCTGGTTGGCAGTCAGTAAACCCGTACATCGTGAAGCTGTCCATCGTGGATGACGAGCCAACGCTAGATGTGAGTACGCTGCTGATGAATAAAAGCACATCTGATGTAGGCAGTGTTCTCATTAGATGGATTAATAAAGGTTTGACTGAAACATTGGATGTTTTCCTCCCACCTCAGGGCATGGGTATGGTCGTCCACTCAGCTCTGGCAGAGTACAACAGGTAACCTCTTCATATCTCCTTGTGCGAGTCTTTTGCTCTGTTTCTCTTCACAGCGTTGGCTATTTATGTCTGGCAGCTTTTCTCTTGAGACCAAATTCAAGAGTCTGGTGTGTCTGAAGTCCTAAAAGCATCAAAGTGACGGATGCTGCAAAGAGAGTTATTTGTTTTTGTGTTTGAACTGTAAAGCAAAGCGATGATTAACTGGACGACTCTGCTTTCCTGTCCCTCTCGTCTCCTCCTAGGCAGTACAAAGACAAAGAAGAGGAAAACCAAGGAGGATTCTTCTCCACCCTCACCAGCATGGTAAGCTGGGTTCGTTTTTCCTACTTTGTGAGTTTTATTTAGTTTACAGCGTTTTTCTCTTTCCTCACAGGTGGGCAGCATGTTTATTGCAGATGCAGACGAGAAACTCTCTGTACAGTAAGTGGAAATCCTGTTTGGTTTTTGGATCGTTCGTTCCCGTTTCTCAGACGGCAGCACCCAGCTCTGGTGGGCTGTAGCGTTTTTAATGTTTTATTTCTGCTGATGAATTCACCGTAGGAGTCTTCTAATCAGCCGTTCTTAGTCAGTTTTCATGGCGGACTGGTGCCTTCAGACAGCTCACTTTATGGTTATGGAAGCCCAGCATGTCCAAAGTGTGGCTCAGGAGCCCTTTTGGGCCTTCAGAGGGATTCTGTGTGCTTGATGTGCATTTTATTAATTTGACTTTATTAAAAGATGAGTTGATTTCCTTTTCACATAACCCCGGTTCTGACCTATCTCCACTGGCTTCCTGTCTCTTACAGGATCCATTTCATAGTCTTACTTTTTGTTTTTAAATCCCTTCATGGCCTGCCCCATTTTACATCTCTGAGCTGCTGTCCGCTTACATCCCTGCCAGAACCGCGCAGAACCATGAGGTCCAGCTCCCAAGCTCTTTTAACAGTTCCAAAAACCCGCCTTAAGACTCGCGGCGACAGAGCTTTCTCTGTGGTTGGTCCCACTGTGGAACAAGCTACCTCTCAACATCAGGACCACACAGAATCTACAGGGAGTGCAGAATTATTAGGCAAGTTGTATTTTTGTGGAACAATTTTATTATTGAACAACAACCATGTTCTCAATGAACCCAAACAACTCATTAATATCAAAGCTGAATGTTTTTGGAAGTAGTTTTTAGTTTGTTTGTAGTTTTAGCTATTTTAGGGGGATATCTTTGAGTGCAGGTGACTATTACTGTGCATAATTATTAGGCAACTTAACTTAAAAACAAATATATACCCATTTCAATTATTTATTTTTACCAGTGAAACCAATATAACATCTCCACATTCCCAAATAAACATTTCTGACATTCAAAAACAATACAAAAACAAATCAGCGACCAATATAGCCACCTTTCTTTGCAAGGACACTCAAAAGCCTGCCATCCATGGATTCTGTCAGTGTTTTGATCTGTTCACCATCAACATTGCGTGCAGCAGCAACCACAGCCTCCCAGACACTGTTCAGAGAGGTGTACCGTTTTCCCTCCTTGTAAATCTCACATTTGATGATGGACCACAGGTTCTCAATGGGGTTCAGATCAGGTGAACAAGGAGGCCATGTCATTAGTTTTTCTTCTTTTATACCCTTTCTTGCCAGCCACACTGGAGTACTTGGACGCGTGTGATGGAGCATTGTCCTGCATGAAAATCATGTTTTTCTTGAAGGATGCAGACTTCTTCCTGTACCACTGCTTGAAGAAGGTGTCTTCCAGAAACTGGCAGTAGGACTGGGAGTTGAGCTTGACTCCATCCTCAACCCGAAAAGGCCCCACAAGCTCATCTTTGATGATACCAGCCCAGACCAGTACTCCACCTCCACCTTGCTGGCATCTGAGTCGGACCGGAGCTCTCTGGCCTTTACCAATCCAGCCACGGGCCCATCCATCTGGCCCATCAAGACTCGCTCTCATTTCATCAGTCCATAAATCCTTAGAAAAATCAGTCTTGAGATATTTCTTGGCCCAGTCTTGACGTTTCAGCTTGTGTGTCTTGTTCTGTGGTGGTCGTCTTTCAGCCTTTCTTACCTTGGCCATGTCTCTGAGTATTGCACACCTTGTGCTTTTGGGCACTCCAGTGACGTTGCAGCTCTGAAATGTGGCCAAACTGGTGGCAAGTGGCATCTTGGCAGCTGCATGCTTGACTTTTGTCAGTTCATGGGCAGTTATTTTGCGCCTTGGTTTGTCCACACGCTTCTTGCGACCCTGTTGACTATTTTGAATGAAACGCTTGATTGTTCAATGATCACGCTTCAGAAGCTTTGCAATTTTAAGGCCCTGTCCACACGTAGCCGGGGATCTGCCAAAACATAGATATTTTTCTACGTTTTGGCCTGTCATCCACACGAAAACTGATCTTTTTAAAAACTCCGGCCAAAGTGAAGGTCTGCGTTTTCTCCGTTTTGGGTGTCTGCGTGTGGACGGACAAAACCGGAGTTTTAAGGTCCGCAACGTCACTTTCCGCGACAAAAAAATGCTGACATCACGTATGCGACCTGTGTTTACACTAGCCGACAGCATGGATGCCCTCGGAGCTGTGCTCGCTTTATCAATTGTCCAAGCGCTTTTTGCTTGTTTGTTTTTGCAAGCGGAATTACTGCTCCTTGCGGAAGACCACAGACGAAGGACGAACGGGGGAAGTACTGCCGCCTACAGGTCTGGCATGTCCTTAACAATGTATTTATCTGGGTACGTGTGGACAGTTTCTTTTTAAAACGAGGTGGTGTGGATGCAAGTTTTTGGAGGGGCGGATATTCGTTTTTTAAAAAACCGGCTACGTGTGGACTAGGCCTGAGACTGCTGCATCCCTCTGCAAAATATCTCACTATTTTTGACTTTTCTGAGCCTGTCAAGTCCTTTTGACCCATTTTGCCAAAGGAAAGGAAGTTGCCTAATAATTATGCACACCTGATATAGGGTGTTGATGTCATTAGACCACACCCCTTCTCATTACAGAGATGCACATCACCTGATATGCTTAACTGGTAGTAGGCTTTCAAGCCTATACAGCTTGGAGTAAGACAACATGCATGAAGAGGATGATGTGGACAAAATACTCATTTGCCTAATAATTCTGCACTCCCTGTAGAGCATTTTAAATCCCTTCTTAAGACGCATTTTTTTGATTTGGCTTTTAATGCAGGCTGACTTATGCATCTTAACAGTTTTTATTATAGACTGTGACTGTTGTGTCCTCATCTTATTTTAGGTTTTTATTGTTTTGTTGTACCTTGTACAGCACTTTGGGTGCAGCTTTGCTGCTGTAAATGCGCTCTATAAATAAAATTGACCTTGACCTTTTCATAAACAGCTTCTGACCCAGACTGACCTTTTTTATCATCACAAGGACGAATGAGGCGATTCTGCTGGCTCTGTATGAGGCTGTGCACCTCAACAGGAACTTCATCACCGTGTTGGCGCAGGTTAGAGACGTTACTGTTCCGTCTACCTGAGCTGCTTTTAGATGTTTTTGCTTCTGACTCGAGCCAGCACTAACCGTTGTTGTTGTTGCTATTAGTGGTTAAACTGGGGATTCTGGTGTTTCAACAGAGTCATCCTGAAATGGACATCGCAGCCACGCCCCCCACCCCTACTCCAACCACACCCACAACACCACTTGGCACCACGCCGCCCTCCCTGGACAGTAAGCATCACAGTTTCAGTCTCATGGAGGGCTCCATCTTTGTTTTATCATGGGTTGGTGTAACCCAGCGGTCTGGGGCCACATGTTTCCTGTCTTCTCATGGGATAACTGCACGGCACTTCCAAAACGGGACACTGTTAGTACCAGCAATACAGGTGGAACTCTTAAAAACTAATCTGGTGCAAAAGTTCATTTATGACAGCGATCCAACATGAAAGCTGAAACTCCGGCTCATTCCAAGCAAATCCAGATGTTTCAGTCTTTATCTGGTATGGTTACAGCTTACAGCTAATGACAATCCCTCATTCAAAACCCCAGACAGTATTCTAGACTCAGTGTCTCACTCTAATCAGCTGATGATACCAGAACCCCTGCAGAAGGTTCCTGAGCCTTTAGATGGTCTCTCAGTCTGTTGAGATGCACACCAGGAAACCAAACTATTGCCCGAAATCAGCAGATGTTTTTTAAATGCATGTAACACGTTAGTCTTGTTTAAGGCGGACTGGTTCTTATCGAGCTGAAGCACCCAGATGATGTTAGGAAACCAACTTAGTCTGCTCTGTCAAGGTGCTACCGGTAACTTCCAGATGTGACGAGGTTGTGGAGGCGGTCTTCTGATAGTGTCATCACCACAAAGTAGCGTGTGACGCCATCAAAAGCAAAAATCTTGTACTTCGTGTGCGTTTCATCAGCGGTTGGTGGACTGATGAAGCTAGCTGCTATGCTTTATATTACAAACCTGCAAACTTGCAGCTTTTTGGCCAAAATCACAATTTTTGTAGCCAAATGTGGCGTTCAAGGAAAGTGTCAATCTGAAGAGTTTGTATTTGGAGGGGAGGGGTTCACCACAGCAGTTAACTTAGTTTCTGCATCCCCACCCGCTCGCCGTCTGGTTAGTTCTCGCTTCTTAACGAGGTTCTGCTGCTGTTCATCCACCCTGTTCTTCTGATGATGAGCCATGGTGTGTGTGTGTGTGTGTGTGTGTGTGTGTGTGTGTGTGTGTGTGTGTGTGTGTGTGTGTGTGTGTGTGTGTGTGTGTGTGTGTGTGTGTATGCATTTGTGTGTGTGTGCGTGTGTGTCTGTGTGTGTATGCATTTGTGTGTGTGTGCGTGTGTGTCTGTGTGCGTATGCATTTGTGTGTGTGTGTCTGCGTGCATGTGTGTGTGTGTGTGTGCATGTGTGTTTGTGTGTGTGTGTGTGTGTCCCCTGGATCTGTTTGCTAATTCTTCCTGACAGCATGTTTGTGAAAAGCACAATTCTGCGAGGATTGGACCATCCAGCCATTATTTCATTAATCTGTTGTTGAACGTTAATGGTGTTAATACACTACACCTTAATGGTGTTAATACACTACACCACTACTTAGTTGTGTAATTAAGGTAACGGCTAAAAAAAAAGAGTTCGCTGACCTGAATCGACACACCGGATCAAATCAAATCGCGATAATCAATTTTACTTCTGGAGAATCGGAATTGAATCGATTCTTGAAAATGGAATCGATACCCAGCTCTAGTTGTCGCCATCTCCAGACGCCATCTTTAGCTACTTTTAAAAAAACTACAGTGTCACGAGATCCACTCGTCATTTCTGCCTTTTTTCTGATTGGTTATGTTTTAGCTGGTTAGTCACGCCCCTCATGGTGCTCTCTGCTTCTGAGTATCTTGTCTCCGTGTGGAACAGACGGAGGAGGAGTCTGTCAGTCCAGGTTACCTACCTGCTCCACTAAGAGCTGTCCTTTGTAAACTAGGTTCCTCTTCAAGATGGGCTGAAACCAGTTTGAGAGCAATAGCTTAAAGCAGGGGTGTTCAGTTCTGGTCCTGGAGGGCCGGTGCCCAGCACGTTTTCTTTAACCTGCTTCAACACACCTGGTTTCAGTCAGCTGGTGACTAACAGCCTTCTGCAGGGCCTGATGAGCTGCTGCAGGTGATTCAACCACTGAATCGGGTGTGTTGGAGCAGAGAAACCACTAAAACATGCTGGACACCGACCTTCCAGACCAGAATTGAAAAGCCCTGACTTGCAGTGTTAAAGTCTTTCTGTGTTGCTTGACCTGAGATGTTTTTTTTCAGTGGCCCTATTCCTCTTCCGTAGAATTTCTCATAAACAAGTCGTCCTTTTCAGAAGGTCTCTCCCCCCCCCCCCCCCCCCCCCCCCAACCCAAAGAGATTTACTTTCACCTGACAACGTCTGAGTCCGAAACATCATCATTACATAATCAGAGCTGGGGCTGCTGGGTGGGACGTTTGTCTGAGCGGTAACGTTACATCATACCAAAGAGCTTTTCCTTCATAAACGGTTTATTTACAGCTTTAGGCACATGCAGCAACAGCTCCTCCTGCCTTCACTCTGACTGTTGCAGACAGACGTTCTCACAAATGTTCTGTTCATCTTTGCCGCCCTCTGGCTCCTGCAGACCAGAGTAACTGTAGGTCTGTTAGGTAGACGGCTATCTGTTGTGGATGGAGACGTTTTATACCGACAGTAAAAAGTCTTGACTAATCGATTTTCTCATCCTTGTTTAGAGGAGCTCCATTTTTATGTTTGCTTGTGAGTTTTGAGATCATTTCCAGTATAACAGCTGAAAGGTAGAATGAACTTTTTATGTTTGTGTCAGACTTAAGCAACCCAACAAAGACATATAGTTTCTCCACTTGTGTGTAGTGATGAACAACCCAGAACTGCCGTTGGATCCCAACCTGCAGACCAGCAACCTTCTCATCACCTTCCTTAAGTACGCCTCCATTGTGATGCAGGACACTAAAGGTAGGCACAAAGTCTCTCGTGTCTTTTTTTTGTTTCTTATTTTGAAGTCCTCGTGCAGTGTTTAGTAGTGACTCCTGCAGGGTCAGTACCAGACCTTCACCAGAAAACCAGTGCTACCATTAAGGCTGCAACAACCAATCGATAAAATTGATAAAAATCCAATAAGAAAAGCGTCGGCAACGCATTTCTTATTGGATTAGTTGCGTTGTGCAACTTTATTTTAGTGTCGTGCAAGCTTTCTTTAACATCATCTGTAGGCAGCAGCAGAGAAGACTGAAGCAGATCAGAACGAGAGAGAAAGCCGGGGTTTTGATGAGGATCGACACACTTGGAACATGGCAGAAGCAGGAAGACTTAAAGAGCAAGTCACCCCCGAATCAACTATTTTTTTCTGATAAACTATATAAATGTGTGTCTAATCGTGCTGCAGACACGTGTAGTCAATAGTTTTGCACTTTAGTGCATTTTAGTTCAAATTTAAATTTTCTGCCTAAAACTGTCAGTGTTGTGCCGTTGTCAGGTAAAAACTCTGCACTGCATTTGAATTTAAATCTGCCACCGCTATTGGCTAAGAGGTATGCTATGATGTAAACTAGTACATTATGATGTCACAATGTCGTGAGTGTGTGTATTTGTTAGTGGCTCCACCCTCTCGGTCTGCTAGGCAACAGCATTTGTTGCATTTTTCAAACAACATGCATGAAGAGGATGATGTAGGGGGTGACTTGCTCTTTAAGAAAGTCTGGGAGAAGTTCATGTTAAACAGCTTAAAGACTTGTCTCCTACAACATATGCAAATCAAACACGGCACGGCAGTACCACGGTGATGATGCAGCATCTTAAACACAAGCATGTCACAGCCATCAACGAGGAAGGAGAGCTCGGGGTCCGGGCCAGTTGTGAAAAACATAAATTTTACAGAGTAATTCACCCCTAGGCCCGGATTAAAGTCATAAGCCAGGGCTGTACGATGAAACAACTCTCTGTGCGATAAATTATTTTTCGATGCAGCACTCGTGCGACGTCTTTTTGAACAAAGGTAAGTTGCCTGTTATTGTGTAAGGAAGATGCTGTTTACTGGCGTAAAATGATTTCATGTAGGTGCTAGGGGTTGTATGAACTAGTCGACTAGTCAACTTCACGGCTCTGTAGTGACTTTTTATGCCTGTCATCGACTAGTCGCTGTCACATGATAATGACTGACAAGATGCAGTCCTCCAGCAGGTGATGAGCCCCTGCGTTAGGAGGCGGAGGCGACGCGCTGTGCCAGAGCGTCGGTACTGACACCGGCGGTAAAACGGACATTTAACCAAACTGTGACCTTTTCCCTCTTGTAATTTTACCTTCCCCTCACCCCCATCCTAATCTTAACCAGTTTGCGCATGCAAAGCTCTGATCGTTGATGCGCTGCAGACATCTGCATCCTGAGCACCGCCAAATCAGGTGTCACCACCTCAAAAACAAATTAAACAGCGATCGTTCATGTCGGCTCATTTCCTTTCATGTTTTCTGTCTGTTATTTGTGCCTGATGCGTTTCGCTGCTGCGGAGCGAGGCTCTTCACCTGTTTTGTTCTCCGGTGACGCACCCCCAAGATTCCACTATCTCCGCTCCGCTCCGGCATGAACTCCGCAGCAAAAACGATCCCGTTGTAGTCGGCCGGCGAGCAGCGGCACTCCGCTGTTTTTGTGGTCGGTAGATCTTTTAGAACTGCAGTTCAAAGGTAACTCATGAGGTGAATATGAAGGCAGGTAGCAGTTTCTCTTTAGGGATTGAGAGGAGATGCAGGAAGATAATAAACAGACAGGACAGAAAAATAGTCAAATAAAAACAAGTTCGTTTTTGTACCTGGTGGTTGCAACAAACAGACACCACTGAAGGTAATCAGAAGTGAGGAACAGAAAATGAAATAATTATTTTAATGTTTAGAGCAGCAGGAACTCCGAGAGGCTGCAGGAGCATCAGTTTGCTGCTGCTGCGCAGGGGGAGGGGGGAGAGGGCTGAAGTAGGATGCAGAAACTACCGTTGTTAAAGAGATGTGTCAACTTAGAAAATGTGGGCGCAATTTTAATTGTCAAAAACTCCAGCGAACCTACCGACACCCCGCCGCTTCAGGTGTATGACGTCATCAACGACTAGTCGAAGTCGACTCGATTTTCATTACTTGACTGTCAACTTTTTAAAAAATTAACTCTGGCAACCCCTAGTAGGTGCTGTGGAGGAAACGGGGAAACAGCACAGACACAAAGGCAGAAAGATTCCCATCTTTTCTGTTTTTTACAGACGAGCATCGGCTCAACAGCGCCAGACTGTGCCTGATCATCCTCACCTGCATAGCCGAGGTGGAAACTGCTCCATTACCTTTGGATCTGTGCTGCTTTTCTCCACCAGTCTGAATATCTGTGTGTTTGTGACAGGACCAGTACGCCGATGCCTTTCTTCACGACGACAACATGAACTTTAGAGTCACTCTGCACAGAATGGTGAGTTTCTGGTGGTGAGGTGATCTTTAGATCCTATTTCCTGTGTTGGTTTGGCTCAAAGAGTTCATATATGTCCATTCTCACACACGGCATACGCACACACACACACACACACACACACACGCACACACACGCAAGCACACACACACACAGACGCACACACACGCAAGCACACGCACACACACACACACGCACACGCAAGCACACACACACACACAGACGCACACACACGCAAGCACACGCACACACACACACGCAAGCATACACACACACAAGCACACACGTGCGCACACACGCACAGACACACACACACACACACGCACAGACACATGCACGCACACACAAACACACACACACACACATACATATACACACACCCACACACGCACACACACATGCACATGCACACACACACACACACACGCACAGACGCACACACACGCAAGCACACACACACACACACACGCAAGCACACACGTGTGCACACACACACACACGCGCACACACGCATGCGCACACACACACACGCACAGACACACGCACGCACACACAAACACACACACACACATACATATACACACACCCACACACACACACACACAGAGAGAGAGTTTAATTTATTTCCCTGTTTTTCAGCCCATGAGACACAGGAAGAAGACGGTGGGGAAAAACATTCCATCGCGCCCGCTGGTTTGTGCTGTTTTAGGTATAAAACATTTACAACTGTTACTTAAACCCCAGTTTGTGAGCAGTTCGGCGTACAAGACCAAGCTAGACTGATGCAGAGTTGGAGACATTTCTTATGGACAGAGACTCTTTAACTCACTTCAGCTTATTTCTCTACTGCGCATGTGCCTGGAGCAGAAGGTCAATGTATAGTTGATTGTTTGTCGACGTCATCGTGACGAACGGACTGATCGAGGCAGCACTATTGTACGTGTGCCTCACCGTTTAAACCTCAGAGAGTTACTATTCCTTTTGCAACAGTTAATTAATGATTAATTTTTCACCTGATTTATCATTTACCTCATTTCTGGGTAGAAACACGTATTCATATTAGAATTTTCATCACTTTTAGACTTTTTTATAAAGCTAACCCTAAAATAATATTTCATAAAATCTGAGGTTGAATCATTTTTCTCTGCTTGCAGACCTGATGGTGGAGTTTGTCGTCACCCACATGATGAAGGACTTCCCCATGGATTTATACTTGTAAGAACACACTTTTAAAGGAGTGGTTCACTGAGAAACCACGTTTTACTGGTTATGTCTGACGGGTCTCTGAGTGTTTCATGCAGGCTGAACATGAAAATAGTCTCCTACACCTACCTCCTGCAGTAGCTTCTGATAGAAAACAGACGGTGAAACTCTTGGATAGAAAATCCTGACAGGTCTACGTCACACTGTCACTAACATTCATGGAGTCACCCATCTGGACTCACGACGGGGAAGCTGTTGTAGGTTTAGTCCAGGAAACGGCAGAGAACATCTCAGTTAGTAGAAGCTAACTGTTAGCATTAGCAACTGCACCACACAGCAGAACTCCTCCAGGCTTGTGTTATTGGTGGAGATAAAACATCAACGTTGCAGAGCAAACAGAGTCAGTGGTAGAGCCGTGTTGCCGTTAGCGAATCAGAGGAGAGAAGCCCAGATATCAGGAAGTAAGACTCCAGATCCTGTTGTCTGAAGCTCAGGGATGTGGGTCACTGCCAGTTCCTGGAAACAACTTACAAGGCATCCATTCCTGTAGAGACCACTGCAGATGTGTTGATTAAATGAGTGAACCACTCCTTTAACAAAAGTGCACCATCGTGACTTACCCACTGTCCGTCCACGTTGATCACAGAGGTGTGTGTTTACTTCCTGTTCAGACGCTGTGTGCAAATCATCCACAAACTCCTGTGCTATCAGAAGAAATGCAGAATCCGATTACACTACACCTGGAGGGAGCTTTGGTCAGGTAAACACACTGATCTGGTCTCGGTCGGTGCGCCCCGGGACAGCTGTGGCTGCATCACCATCAGTGTGTGAATGGATGAATGATACTCTGTAGTGTGAAGCGCTTTGGAGTCCTCTCACTCTGAAAGGTGCTGTACAAGTGCGGCTCATTTATCTGTGGTCTGTGTTCGGCCTTAGAGCTGAAAGCTTGATCTCTTCTTTTTTAGCTAAACTCTTATTGACCTGTTCTACTAAACTGATCAACCTTTTATATTTAGTTGCTTCACAATAATCTCTGCTAGATAAAATGAGTTTAATAACAATAAAATAAGACAAACTTCTGACATAATGGCTGTTTTTCTGAGTAGGACTTAAAAGTTTACTTCCTCTGTGAAACTAAGCCAATTTCTCAGAAAGTCACTGAGCTTGTTGTTTTTTAAACATGTTGCATCATTGCGATTGGATAATGACCCACTTAAGAGAAAGCCATCCATTCTGAAGGAGTCTTCTTATTTAGCTCGGTCAACACCCAGCAGGGGGTCCCACTGGGTCTGGTTGGGAGACGGATTCCTCTAATCAGACCAATAATCACATTAATTCCCTCAATAACGCAGACTTCCTTCTCTCACTGGTGGTGATGGCACAACATCAGCCTGCAGACTGGAACCAAGAAGCCAATCTAAAGCCGCAGATGTGTTTATCTTCCGTGGTGCTAACTTTAGTTGTTTGTTAAGTGTGATGTTTTCCTTTCCACAGTAAAAGCTGGAGTTGGTGCTGAAAGGTTTCCCTCCTCCTGAGTTTCATTATCTACCCTGATGAAGATGCCCACAGAGAACAGCCTTTAATGCTCTCTCTCTCTCTCTCTGTAGCACTCATCAACCTGCTGAAGTTCCTGCTGTCAAATGAAACCTCGCTGCTGGCCAAGCACAACATCTTTCACCTGGCGTTGCTGGTGAGAAGTGCACATCTGCATTAGCTCCACTGTCGTGTCTTCCTCATCAGCGAGTTTACCACAATGTGTGCCGCTTTCTCCAGATAGTGAACCTGTTCAACATGTTCATAACGTACGGCGACACGTTTCTGCCCACCTCCAACAGCTACGACGAGCTTTACTACGAGGTCGTTCGAATGCACCAAGTCTTCGACAACCTGTACTGTATGGGTGCGTGAACTGACGGCAGTGTTGTCGGTGAATTGTTGGGAGTCAGCTGTGAGTCAGACATGGGTTCTGTTTGTTTCTATCGTTCTCAGTTTTGAGGGTGTCCACCAACGCAGGCCAGTGGAAGGAGCCCGCCAGCAAAGTCACGCATGCCCTCGTCAATATTCGGTAAAAACCCGCTTTGTGCCAACAGTGTAGAAAAGATAAAACACCACGGCATGTAGGGTTCAAGGGAAAAGGTTAGGTTTATATTTATAATTAACTCTTTGTGAATAGCTTCCTGAGAAACATCTGGGCCGAGGTACAGAGTTTACGTTCTCCAAGACTGATGGGCTAACGGCTAGTCTAGTTATGTCCACATAAATATTATGGACTTCCTGCTTTTTGGTGATTTTCTACCCTTTATGAAAAATAACCAGGTAAAAAGGAATTTAATTGCAGCATAAAGGTTCATAAATAAAATGTGCATAAGCTATATTCATTAATATTCATCATATGCAAACAGCTCGCCTATGATTGGCTAACAGCAACTCTTCTACTTTTGTTCACTTTTCTTTCTTTGGTAAAAAAAATTGCTGCATTGATGTTTTATCTCCACAAATAACCCAAGCCTGAAAATGTTCCGCCATGTTGTGGGGTTGCTAATGCTAACAGTTAGCTTCTACAAGCTGAGATGTGCTCTGTTCTCTACTTCCTGTGGGTGGACACAAGCCAAGGTGGGTGGGGCCATGAATGCTACTTTTCCCTCTGATGTAGAAGAGACTGTCCTTTAGGTTTTTTTCTCTCTGCAACTGATGCAGGCGATGGGGGTTGAAGGAAATGTTCTCGCTCTGCATGCGTGTGAACAAGTCCTGAGAGGAAGTAGGAATACACATTGGTTTAGGCTCTTCTTGGACTAGCTGTTAGCCCATCAGTCTTGTTTGCCTGATGGGCTAACAGCTGGGTAGGCCTATCAGGATCTTTTCTGGAGTGGTTCTCCTCTTATCTTTCTGAGTGCTCCTTTTCTGTGGCCGTCTCCAAGTTTAGGTCCTCCACCACCTCCCTTACCCATGGTGTCCCACAAGGTTCTGTGCTGTTGATGGTTTTGGTTACAACCACAGTCTAGTGGGCGGATGCACTCTCTAGCAGCGAGGGACGTGTTCTTCCTGTAACATTTCATAATCACTAATTTATTTTATTGTCTTTCAGGGCCATCGTCAACCACTTTAATCCCAAAATCGAGTCGTACGCAGCTGTGAACCACATCTCCCAGCTCTCAGAGGAGCAGGTAAACGCTTGACGTGGCATTTAAATAAAGAGACAGCAGTTTGGGTTGAACTCAGAGAAACCCTGCTTAAAGCCAATAAAACACCTCAAAAGGGTCTGGAATGAGATTTTCTGCATTTGGTTTTCAAAGAAACCGTTAACCGAAGGGCTCTGATACTCTCTGATAGGACAGTAATGGATGTGGTCATTACTTTCTCCAATGAGCTGCTTTCTCTTATCTACCAGATTAATTCACAACAAGGAGGAGTGGCAGAAGTTGGCTTTATTTTCTGAGCTTTTATATCCACTTCCTACTGGATTCATTTCTACTGTAAAAGTGATCTGACTTCACTATAAATGGATTCTGCTGTGAACAACTGAACTAGTTTGGTGCCATAAAGAAGCTTGATTCAGGCCCAGTTTTAGGGTCGTGGAACGTCGCAGCTCAGAACCTTGACGTCTGACTTTGCTCCTTACACATATCTAGGATACCGAGTCCTGATGTGATACTTTAGAAATGCATTAAGAACACTAGAATCGACTGAAAACCTGACGTTTGCAGCTCGTCCAGTGTGGTAAATATGCTGCTATCTTGGCATTTTTGCCGTCCGTAGACTATTTCTTGGTTTCTTCATGTATCTTTAGTGTCAGCTGGCCTAGCAGATTGTTGCAGCGAACTGAGCGAGGTCAGTTTATTTAAGGTGGTGCACCAGTGTTGAACGCAGCACTGCCTTTTCCACCATGTTAAACGCCCAGTTGTCCGTTTAAAAATGCATCCAAATGACACATGTTTTCACTCTGTTGAGGTGACAACTGTGCTCTATAGGGAGCCTAAGTCACTTCTGCATCACGGGTCCCCGGAAGAACGAAAACATGAACGCAAGTCAACGGGGCTAAAGACGCTATTTTCTAACCCGCTCTGCCTTACGCCCTGGATCATGCATGTTGTACTTATTTAAATGAAAACTAATGATGGGTGTTTCAACCACGCCAATAACATACTTTGAGATTTATCAGCTTGTAAAAGTTTGTAATTAGCATGACAACACACCAGAAATCAGTACGTCGCATATGTGACATCACCACTTAAGCTCCTCCCCCTAGTGTAACTGCTACTCGCCACATGACCAGATTTATGGTGGTTCTTTCCTCCTGTGGGAAGTTTGCTGAATTTACAGCCATTTTCCCTCAGTTTTCTCCGTGTCTGTTCCGATGACATCCCTTTTGCGAAGCGCATTTGTAGTTCTGGACTTATTTCACACATAACCTAAAATATCGTTCCCCCGTTAGAAAATAAGCGCTTTCTTGGTATCAAAATATGTCTTTAAAATTCACGGACATCATACGTGAAATCCTTGTCACAAAACAAGCAGATCAGAAAATAGCGTTTTTAGCCCCGTTGACTTGCGTTCATTTTTTCGTTCTTCTGGGGACCGTGGTCCGGAAGTAGGTGGGTGTGGCTTAGGCTCCCTATGTTAGCTACCAGCTACAGGTTATGGTGCGTGAATTCCCGGACTGGCTTAAATTGTGGGACTTATGGTTTTGTCTGGGAAACAAAGAATACTGATGTAGAGGAACTTGTTAAATGTAAAACTAAGTCATTGTTCTGTTAGAAAATCTCTTTCTTAGATGAATTTAAAAAGTCGTGTTTGTTGTTTTATGGTTAAATCCATTTTCCCACTGATTTCAATATCCTGAAAATCACATGATCTTCATTTATCCAGATAGTCGATAGAGAAATCATTCTCATTTACGAGGATCTGGCCAAGAGGCAGCAGCAGCGGACACATAGTTCGCTTTACACCAAAGAACAACAGACAAGATAAAAATAAGATAAACTTTTAAGCCTAGTTTATGCTTCTGCATCGGTACGAAGACATGCAACGCCATTATGCATCCTTGTGAGGGATCTCCAGCAGGCTCGCAAGGACGGACGGAGTCGAGCTCTCTTTTCTAAACATCTGTCTAACGGGACGGAGAACGCAAGCTTGTGATTGGTCAGGAAGGCGCTTTTGTCAACAGCACTGCCATTTTGCCCTTAAAAACAAAGATGTCTAGCGGCAGACACTGAGCAGCTTGAATACCTCACAGAAAAACTAAAAATATGAACGTTTATTCAGCCGTGACTGGAGAAGAAAAAAGATGCTCAGCAAGCGTTTTATTGGTGAATGGAAACGACGGTAAACGTGGGTCTAGAGGTGGTGAGTGCATGAAGAGGTGGAGGAGGATGAGGGACAAATGTGTTCGTGTTAAAAAGTCTGAAATACAAAAACACAGTAATAAACACACTATCTTGGACCGGATCCATGACAGGATACCCCAGAACAGCGCTATGCCCTCTGGTGTCCTGGCGGGGAATAGCTTTGCAGTCCGTGCGTGTCTCTCCCTCATGGAGCTGACGCAGAAGCATAAACATAGCTGCTCTGGTCCGATCACGTGTTTTTTAAAGGATCGGAATCGGGAGGAAAACATCGGATTTAACCTTTTGAAACAACAAACACGACTTTTTAAATTCATCGTGAGATAGAGATTTTCTAACTGAATAAAAATGGCTAAGTTTTTATTTCAATAACTCCCTCTACATCAATAATATTTGTTTCTTGTATGAAAACAACACAGTGATGTCACACAAGTTACGGCAGGCAAGGACTCAGACGCTGCTGTTAGCAAGCCTGCTAACACTGAGCTAACGTGTCTCCTCAGGAGAGCTAACGTATCTGCAGCTTGGTGGTATTTTAACGCTTTTCCCTTCGGGCATCAACAAAGCAAATCACCGGTCTCCATTAATCTCCAGTTTACCTCCCAACAGTCCCAGTTCACAGTGAAGTCAGACAAAAACGTGGAGCTAGCCGACAGAGGAAGTTATGCTAATGAACAAAGAGACATTTCCAACAGCCTGTAAAACATCTGAGTTTGTAGTTCTCCTGCAGCAGCGGTGCTCAATACGCCCAGCGGCGGTCTGGACCATGAACCTGGAGCTGGAACTACAGGTGTTAATTAGAGAAAAGCCACCCTGCCTGCCTGCTCCACCACGTAAACACGGCTCACAGCTGCACGTTGAGGGAGTAAACAACTTGAAATAAGAGCAACGCTGCTACTTTTAAGTACATTCACAATATAAACACGTTTTTAATCGTGTACTTCCTAAAAAAAAGGAAATTGGAACTTAAAGGACAATTTGGATTTATTTTCTTATTTTAATGCTTTACTGAAAAGTATCGGATCGGGACTCGGTATCGGCAGATACTCAAAATCAAATGACTGTGAATCGGATCAGGAGCAAAAAAACCGTGATCGGAACATCCTTTGTTTAGACCAAAAGACAAAGGACAGTTCTCATATATAATATGTATGTGGACGGGATCGTATATAATATGTAGCGTATATAATACGTGCGCGGAAGGGAGCGTATATAATACGTATGTTAGAGGGGAGCGTATATAATATGTATGTTAGAGGGGAGCATATATAATACGTATGTTTTTAGGGGAGCGTGTATAATACGTATGTTAAAGGGGAGCGTATATAATATGTATGTTAGAGGGGAGCGTATATAATATGTATGTTAGAGGGGAGCGTATATAATATGTATGTTAAGAGGGGAGCGTATATAATATGTATGTTAGAGGGGAGCGTATATAATATGTATGCTAAGAGGGGAGCGTATATAATACGTATGTTAAGAGGGGAGCGTATATAATATGTATGTTAGAGGGGAGCGTATATAACGCGTATGTTAGAGGGGAGCGTATATAACGCGTATGTTAGAGGGGAGCGTATATAATACGTATGTTAAGAGGGGAGCGTATATAATACGTATGTTAAGAGGGGAGCGTATATAATATGTATGTTAGAGGGGAGCGTATATAACACGTATGTTAGAGGGGAGCGTATATAATACGTATGTTAAGAGGGGAGCGTATATAATATGTATGTTAGAGGGGAGCGTATATAATATGTATGTTAAGAGGGGAGCGTATATAATACGTATGTTAAGAGGGGAGCGTATATAATACGTATGTTAAGAGGGGAGCGTATATAATACGTATGTTAAGAGGGGAGCGTATATAATATGTATGTTAAGAGGGGAGCGTATATAATATGTATGTTAGAGGGGAGCGTATATAATACGTATGTTAGAGGGGAGCGTATATAATATGTATGTTAGAGGGGAGCGTATATAATATGTATGTTAGAGGGGAGCGTATATAATATGTATGTTAGAGGGGAGCGTATATAACACATATGTTAGAGGGGAGCGTATATAATACGTATGTTAAGAGGGGAGCGTATATAATATGTATGTTAGAGGGGAGTGTATATAATATGTATGTTAAGAGGGGAGCGTATATAATACGTATGTTAAGAGGGGAGCGTATATAATACGTATGTTAAGAGGGGAGCGTATATAATATGTATGTTAAGAGGGGAGCGTATATAATATGTATGTTAGAGGGGAGCGTATATAATACGTATGTTAGAGGGGAGCATATATAATATGTATGTTAGAGGGGAGCGTATATAATATGTATGTTAGAGGGGAGCGTATATAATACGTATGTTAGAGGGGAGTATATATAATATGTATGTTAGAGGGGAGCGTATATAACACGTATGTTAGAGGGGAGCGTATATAATACGTATGTTAAGAGGGGAGCGTATATAATATGTATGTTAGAGGGGAGCGTATATAATATGTATGTTAAGAGGGGAGCGTATATAATACGTATGTTAAGAAGGGAGCGTATATAATACGTATGTTAAGAGGGGAGCGTATATAATACGTATGTTAAGAGGGGAGCGTATATAATATGTATGTTAAGAGGGGAGCGTATATAATATGTATGTTAGAGGGGAGCGTATATAATACGTATGTTAGAGGGGAGCGTATATAATATGTATGTTAGAGGGGAGCGTATATAATATGTATGTTAGAGGGGAGCGTATATAATATGTATGTTAGAGGGGAGCGTATATAACACGTATGTTAGAGGGGAGCGTATATAATACGTATGTTAAGAGGGGAGCGTATATAATATGTATGTTAGAGGGGAGTGTATATAATATGTATGTTAAGAGGGGAGCGTATATAATACGTATGTTAAGAGGGGAGCGTATATAATATGTATGTTAGAGGGGAGCGTATATAACACGTATGTTAGAGGGGAGCGTATATAATACGTATGTTAAGAGGGGAGCGTATATAATATGTATGTTAGAGGGGAGCGTATATAATATGTATGTTAAGAGGGGAGCGTATATAATACGTATGTTAAGAGGGGAGCGTATATAATACGTATGTTAAGAGGGGAGCGTATATAATACGTATGTTAAGAGGGGAGCGTATATAATATGTATGTTAAGAGGGGAGCGTATATAATATGTATGTTAGAGGGGAGCGTATATAATACGTATGTTAGAGGGGAGCGTATATAATATGTATGTTAGAGGGGAGCGTATATAATATGTATGTTAGAGGGGAGCGTATATAACACGTATGTTAGAGGGGAGCGTATATAATACGTATGTTAAGAGGGGAGCGTATATAATATGTATGTTAGAGGGGAGTGTATATAATATGTATGTTAAGAGGGGAGCGTATATAATACGTATGTTAAGAGGGGAGCGTATATAATACGTATGTTAAGAGGGGAGCGTATATAATATGTATGTTAAGAGGGGAGCGTATATAATATGTATGTTAGAGGGGAGCGTATATAATACGTATGTTAGAGGGGAGCATATATAATATGTATGTTAGAGGGGAGCGTATATAATATGTATGTTAGAGGGGAGCGTATATAATACGTATGTTAGAGGGGAGCATATATAATATGTATGTTAGAGGGGAGCGTATATAATATGTATGTTAGAGGGGAGCATCCTAAAACACAACGCTGCAGTCGTGTGTCAGATAAACAGTTATCTGAGTGGATGCTTCCAGGATCAAAGTCAAAATAAAAGCTGAAATTTTCTCAGAAACACTCAGTCATCAGACCTCCATCCATTAGGGGCTCTGAGGGGAAGTGGATGTGGTTCCAAAGCATTACAGCTCTCCATGTGATCCTCATCTATTAAATAACTCCCTAAATCATCTAAAACTCATCAATAATTGACTCCTGTTTCTCTAATCCAGTCTTCTCCCTTAGAAACTAGAATATGTCAGAAATGTAAAGGATGACAACTTTGCTTTATTTTTTCCTCCCCACCTGTGCAGGTGTTGGAGGTGGTGCGGTCCAACTACGACACTCTGACCCTCAAACTGCAGGATGGTCTGGACCAGTTTGAGAGATACTCGGAGCAGCCAAAGGAAGCTGCTTTCTTCAAGGATCTGGTGAGAGACGGAGTCCTATCCCAGTCAGGAGAGTTGGTCCTAACCTAGTTTTTAATCAATCAATCAATCAATCCATCCATCAATCAATCAATCAATCAATCACTTTTATTTGTAGAGCACCTTCCACAACATTATTAGAAGCCCAAGGTGATGAACAGCATCATCATAAAACATTCCCAGTACCTGGGCATAAAAGCAAGATAAAAACATAAAATCATAAAATAACAAGCAAGCAATATTACAAATACAGAGAGATAACGGAATGAGACTAATCAATTAAAAACAAATGGTGGACAAAATAAGATCAAGCATCCTGATCAAAAAGAAGAAGTATTAAAAACCATAATGTCAGGGCAATTCAAAGAACCCTAGCGCTGAAAATCAATCAAATAAAAATGAGTCTTTAGATGAGAATTAAAGACTTGAAGGGATGGCACCTGCCTAATGCTCAATGGCAATTCATTCCACAGAGTTGGAGCCAAAACAGAAAATGCACGATAACCCCTCGATCGATATTTCGATCGGGGGACCACCAGACGTCCCTGCTCGGCTGAGCGAAGAGACTGAGATGGAGCATACTTGTGCAAAAGTGCAGTAATTTAAGTGGGGGCACTGCCCTGGAGGGCCTTATAAACAAGAGTTAAGATCTTAAATTTAGCTCGATATTGCACCGGGAGCCAGTGCAGAACAGTCAGCACTGGGGTAATGTGATCTCGACATCTAGTGCCTGTCAGGAACCTTGCCACTGAGTTCTGTACAAATTGGAGCCTTGCAACCGTGCACTGGGCCAGACTGGCATACAGAGCATTACAGTAGTCTAGACGGGACAGGACGAAAGCATGCAACACAGACTCCAGATGAGCTCTGGACAGCAGAGGCCTGATCCTGGATAGTCGTTTCAGATAAAAAACAAAAAAACAAAAACAGGACCTCACCACTGTATTATGTGTCAAGATTAAGTGAGGAGTCAATTTTTATACCCAAATTACTATTTTTTTAAGATTTGACCAAAACGAGTTAAACATCTTTTCCCTACATGAACCCATGCAGGGTTAGGGGGTCTTCAAGGCCTTTAAAGCAGCAATAGCAAATCTAGAGAACAAGCTAGCTTTTAAACATGGTCATCTCTAGGCCACGCCCCCCGATTCCAGAATCCACACTGCCAGAGGAAACGAGACCGGGCTAAACACCAGTCGCTGTTTTCTAGGTCCAAACGTCTTCTGGTGTCCGTGACTTCAGACGGTGTTTTTCTTTTTGGGACTCTGGTAGTTTGTCCTAAAGCTGAAGCGGTAGCAGCCGGCTGTTTCTCCTTTTCTGATGTTGAGCGGAGAACCTCTCACACCAGTGGTGTTCTGCTGCTGAATGCTTGAGTGTGTGATGAGTGGAGGACCCGGGGAAGTGTGGCGGTTCTGTGAGGCAGTCGGATGGTCCGATGGTCGGTGTAGGTCCGAGATTTTTAGACAAATGAGAGAACCACTTTATTTATTTTTTTCCACAAAACATGTAAATGATGCTAGGCTGATGTTCAGAGGCATGAAAAATGTTTTAAGCTAATTTGTTTTCAGATTTGCCGTTGCAACTTTAACCGTTTAGTATAACAATAATTTTGTTTTACTTTGAAATAATTCATGGACTAAAGTTGTTTTGCAACCAAGAACTAAATAAAAATGACATTAACCTTTATACCCCCCACCCCAGGTGCGGTCCATAAGTCTGAATGTGAGGAAGAACGTCTCTCTGAACACTCTGAGTCAAGACGTTCTGCTCAAAGAGTTCTCCACTATCTCCTGAATCAAGCACACACTCACGGCTCCCTTCAGGACCTCCTTCCTGTGCACGTGAACGTCGACACAAGTGTCCTCTCCTCTGATCACCTCTGAGCTGAAACCATGGAAACGGGTTTTATTGGATGTCAGACTCAGACTCACCTTACAGGAACAATCTGTCACTTCCAGGATCGTCCTCCTCGACGGGTCATAACAACTCTAGACTCTCTCCAGACTTCCATCTGTTGGCGGTCGTACGCGCGCGCTAAGGAAGCTCCCATGATGCACTGCTCACTCAGCAGTTTTGGCTGGACTGTTAACTGACATGTAAATGTTTGATTCATCTGATTTTTTTTAGTAGAACAAGTGAATTTGGTGTCGCACTAACCACAGCTGATGATTAAAACCTTCCTGTTAACAGTTTGACTTCCTGACCTACTCGTCTGACGTCTGGATGCTCGCCGAGTCAGAATATGTGTGTTTGCTAAGACATAGGACATTTTAGGCGTTAGGCTGAGGAGGTTTTGACGTGTTTGGTAGTTTTAAACGTCCCGACACACAGAATACAAAGTCCCCAGTGTTCAAGTTAGTTCTCTTTATTTTAGCCAATGAAATAAGTGGAGCTGAAGCTGCAGGAGTGTCTCCGGCACAAACGCAGCCAGGTGTTAGTCTCCTCCTCATGTAAACTCTTCATTTTCTGGTGGAAGCTGTTCTGAATTATGCAAAGTTATCACGTGTTAATGATTTCTGTCCTCTAACTCATGTTGGTGTATTTGTTATTTTTAGTAAAGTTTTTTTCCTGCTGTATTTGTGGCCTGTTTAACCACACATTAGACGGGTCCAGCCCTGTTTAACCACACATTAGACGGGTCCAGCCCTGTTTAACCACACATTAGACAGGTACAGCCACCACACTAATTTACTTTTAAATAGGCTTTTCATTGTCCACAAAAGGCTTGGGGGTAAAACAAAAAAAGCATAACCACTGGTGCCACCCATGCACAAAGCTGTGCCTCACCTGGGCCACCCCATTTTAAAAGATCTGAACACGCCACTGATCAGTCTCCCATCAGTCTTTCTGACAGTACACATAATAATCCCTCACTCGCCTGCCCGCTCTCGATCGCCCTCTGGGCAGTATTTAGTTTTTCCTGGAAAGGGGATTTCTCGCCCCCCTTGGCCACACACACACTTATCTGGATAACATTTTCATTTGAAGGAGAGCTGATAATCCTGTTTATGCTGGCTTTGTTTCATCTTGAGTCAGCAGTAAGAGTTTGAAAGCTCCTAAAGAATTGTTTTAAATGAACATGTGTGTAAAACGCTCTAATGTTCAGAACCTGGAACCGAGGAGGATCATTTAAACATCATGTTCAGGTCTGAGCTCCTGGATCTCAGCTGCTAAACGGAATGGAACATCCTGTTGGATTGGGGGGGGCAAAGCGCTCTGTTTCCTGGTTCGATCCTGAGATCTGGATGGCCTGTAGCTCTATAGCATCTTCTTAGGGTTCTGCAACCTCCCAAGGCGCTTCACAACACAATCAGGCATTCACACGATGGTGGGGATGAGCTACGCTACAACAAAATGTGGCAGCAGTAGCTCAAGTGGTTGAGCAGGTTGTCCAGTAATCGTAAGGTTGCAGGTTTGATCCCAGCTCCGGCTGTTGTGTCCTTGGGCAAGACACTTTACACGTTGCCTGCTGGTAGAGGTCGGAGGGACTGGTGGCACCTGAGCCTCACCTCTGCCACAGCAGCTGTGGCTACTTTGTAGCTCATCACCACCAGTGAGTGAATGGATGAATGGTAGTGTAAAGCGCTTTGGAGTCCTCTGGCTTTGAAAGGTGTCAGAAAGTGTAGGTCAAGGTGATGCCAGACCTCCTCCTCCATAAAGTGTCCTGGCTCAGGCCTCGAGACAGGTGGAGATGCTCCTTCTCAGCAAAAGAAGGAAGCCGAGGTGTTTCTAGTGTCTGATTGGCTCCAGGTCACCTGAGTGCTGTAAGGACACGCAGATTATAAATCCTCTCTGGTTTGGGAACACCTTGAGATCCAACAAAACGAAGATGTGAGGCATGTCTGGGTTTCCCAGCTGGAAACAGCTCCACCACACCTTGGAAGGATGGGTGTAGACAGACTACCAGGCCTGTCCATGGGACGTTGTGAACACTGCAGCTGTCCTCCACTCTAGCAGGCAGCATGGCGTTTGGGACACGTCACAATATCACAGAAGGCAAGGGAAGTGTCCCATACAAGTCTAATTTTAACCTTTCAGAACTCATCAAGGACTTTCAGAATAAAAGTCACGTGCAGATTTCCAGTTGCTTAACTGGTTAAAAAAGGAATTTCCTGTAAGGTAAACAGAAATTCAAATAAGCCCTTCTGGATTCATCCTTCATCTTTGCTTGTTATGAATCAGGCCTGGTCTTGTTGATGAACTCCACCTCTGTCCTTCAGTCCTGTGTCCGTGTTAATTGCTCCCACCTGCCTCTCCTCACCCAATCACCCAAGGTCCCACCTCCTCCTGTATTCAAACCCTGTCAGTCTTTGTTGTCTTGTCGGATCATTGATAGCATGTCTCGTGTGTTTGTCATTAAAATCCCTCCAAAACGTTCCTGTCCGCCTGCCTTCTTCCCCGCATTTGGATCCTCACCTCCGCTTCACTCACCTTCGCACCCCTGACACCACCAGCTGAAGGACGGATGCCTAAGTTAGATAAGCTTCAGTATCCCTCCTCCTCCTCCTCCTCCTTCATCACTCCTCTCAGCTGGAGCCCCTCCCTTCCTCCGATACCGCCACGCACGAACGCAACGCTCCAGCTGAGCAGTCAGACTTCATCTGAGGTCCCAAAAGTCCCTCGTCATCGTCATCTTCACCATCAGCTGATCTGCAAAGACCGGGTAGAGAAGAGAGCGGACTTTTTTCACCCACTGATGACAGATGCTTGCAGAAAAGTGACGCAAACCGGACTGCGGGCGCAGTGGACTTTAAGGAACCAAGTCCCGAACGCACGCGCGGATTCAGACACCAAACATGAACTCCAGGAGTCAGACCCAGAGTCTGTCAGACTCCAGAGAGCTGGACAGGTCCTATGACCCGCTCACAGGTACCGTTTTCATTCCTCTGTGGTGGTCTGGATGCGGTTTACTGGTCTGGTTAGTGCGAAACCGCTGTGAGTCGGAGAATTTGGCGCCCATTCCGCAACAGAACACCGCTGCTCCAAAAACGCGTTTCCCGCGTGTGTTTTTTTTTTAAAGCTGTTGTATCACATTGTGACAACGTCCACGAAGAGAGATGAGCTTTTCTTTATTCTTTCTGTTTTCCGGGGTCTGATCTGGTGGAGCTGCAGCAAAAACAAACAAATTCATTCATAAATTAGATTTTTTGGCTCGTGGGTTCATTTTATTTTCCAACGCCCACATTTGTCAGACCTGAAGTTTCCAAAACTTACAACCCAGGGGCAGATCTACAACAGGGCAAGGGAGGGCAACTGCCCCCCAGCTGTAGCACCACCTTCCACCCCCCTACTTTAATGTCAAAACCTTAAGCGCTCTAAAAATGATGCTAGTTATTTAAGTTATTTATTTTAATTAATCCATCTATATTTTATACAAACAAATCTAGTTGTTTTCTTAAAAGAAATAATGATACAATAAATAGTTTAACAGTGTTTTTTGTGTGTATTATGTTGACTCTACGTACGTATACAAGATTTTCACAAACTCAAATCCAGCTTTGGCTCCCTGCATAGAGCAGATCTATTGTTGTCATAACACACACACACACACACACACACACACACACACACACACACACACACACACACACACACACACACACACACACACACACACACACACACACACACACACACACACACACACCTCTGTGCTTTTTGAAGCGGTTATATCACAATCGTGACAACTTCCACAAATAGCGTTTTCTTTGAAGGAAAACAAAGAAAAATGTAAAAATAGCCGACTGTAAGATTTCAGAACACTTTCATGTTCATTCGACAGTTTGATGGAGACCAAGTGGCTTCTTCTGAGGTAATGGACATAATCTGGTGTCAGTTCAGCTGCAGGTGAACCAACACTGAACAGGTGTGTGAACTCTGAGGGTTTAGAACAGGATACACACATAGCTCATAGGTATCCATGCAGAAACCAATAATATAAATGTGAATATAAAAGACTCATCAGTGATACTCCTGCTGAAAACATCGTGTTTACTTTGTTTAATGAATTATAGATTCAGCAAATGTTTACAAAGTTATCTTCCAGTTATGTTCTGAGGTGAAAAGAATGACATCAAGTGAAGTTGCTTATTTTTAGATTTACCTTTAAAGCCAGACACGGCTCTTCTGCACAAGGAGATGTTTCATGACTTTAAACGTTAAATATGAATTATAGCAGCCTGGAGCTAGCTTAGCACAGATGGGGCCGGTGAAAAGGTGGGGTGGCCCACCACAGGGTGGTAACTCTGGGAGAGTTAGCTAACTGTGCTCCTTCATTCTTTGTTATCTATTCAACACATTAAGCTCAAATTAGAGAAACAAACATTTAAAAAAGACAAACGTTCAAAACTTTGTTTCAGTTCATTTTCAAAATATGGTTTTAGAAATTTTAAACAGTTAAGTTGGTTGTTTCAACTAAAATATCTACAAAACCACTAGTTTCAAGCCTCAGTGGTACACACATATACTCAAATTGTGGTTTAATACATCCATTATTTATTCAAATGAAAAAGGCTGTGGGTTGGTCAACAGTTTTCCAGGTGTGACCATGGCCCCCCCCTGGCCACCCTTTGGAGGCACCTCTGGCTTAGCTGGGAGAGTGGTCCAAAACAAACTGAATCTGCATCACTAATGATCTCCATGACAACTCAAAGGATCACTTCAGATATAGGGTTAGGAGGTAGAAGTGAGGGACCCAGACCCTGTTCTCCAGCTGCTCCTGGGGATCACAAGGCAGAGTGACAAGGATGGAGTTGGGATTCAAACTGCCAACCCCACCCGACATCTCATGACCCTAGCTGAAGGGTGGGGTCTAGATGGTGAGATAAGTCCACTCCTCCCCTACAACAACACATCAGAGCAAAGTCTCGATCATCTCTGGATCTGTCCCGGTGTCGCCGGCAGCGAGAAGATGTGTTCCGCCATTTTTCCGGTTGGAAACATGACCTCACCTGAATCTATCCTCTTTGATGATGTCGGATAAATGAGCTGCTCTTGTTTAGCGCCTTTCAGAGTCAGAGGACTCCCAAGTACAGTGAGTCATTTATTCACACACTGATGGTGATGAGCTATGTCATAGCCACAGCTGCCCTGGGTGCACCCACAGAGACCAGGCTGCTGCACAGACACTGCCAGGTGGACAGGAGGGTGACGTGTCTTTCCCAAGGACAACTGACATGACTGACAGCCTGGTTTCAAACCTGCAACCCACTGGTAGAGCTCCTCGCCCTTGAGCCACCTCTTTGAGAGGGACTTTACATAAAAGCCTAAATACGATTGGTCGATGGGTAGTGAAAACTGTCTTCAACCCCCGTGTCCAGCGTTAGCCGCAGAAAGGGAAAGGACGGGGACGCTCAGATGAGAAGAAGCCAGACCGTGTGCCCAGCAGAAAGCATCAGCAGCTCCACGGCACAGAAGAACCAGGCAGGCTTGTCGGGATGAAACAGCACCGTTGTACTTTTTACCCAACAGAGAAGAGCGATCAAAGCCAGCGGAAGAGTCGCA